AGCCAGGTTCGTGATGGTTCGCGGAATGTCATGCTTCAAATTCTGCTGCTGCATGTGTTGCAGCAAGGCTATCCACGCTTCGACATAGGCTCAGAATGGTAGGGATTCGCGGGGCCTGGTTGGCGTTGCCGCAGGATCATTGAATCTAGTGGCACTTGCGTAGCATGCTTGATGTGAGCGTTGGTCAGGCGATGTACTTGTGGTCTTTGTAGCCTTGCTGAAATGCTGCTCAACGTCAGACGCAGTGAGAAGGCCCGACTGCGCAGAGCAAGCATAACAGCACTGAGATTTGTCCGTGCTTCAGCCTTTCGTTTCATTCACGCAGGATCTCCCACGGGCGTGTTTTGAATAGGCTTTGTTGGTATGCTGCAGCTGTCGTTTGGACCATCCGGGGGCTTCTGGGTGGTTGAGACAAGCCCGGTTGCCAACAGTTGGCAGACGCCATGGCATTGAAAAGCGACGAAGGATCAGGGCTGCCCACTCTGTGGACGTAGCCCCTAAACCCCGCAAGCTCAAATGCCTCCGAAGATCAGGGGATTAGACATCAGGGATTTGGAGCTTAGTTGGGGTCGCAGATGGTTAAAGGTTGTCAGCTCTGGTGGCCGCTCAGTCCCCTCACCCCATCTGTAGCTCTACCCCGAAGCCGATGCCCTGATCTGTTCACAAGTGCCGACACTGACATGAGGGAGCTTCTCAGTGTCAGTGTCCGAGAGGGCCCGGGGCGATCTCTGCACCACGTCTTCCGCGCTTGGGGACTTCAGGAACTTGAGAGGGCGCTTGAGGTTTTGAGGGTATCGGTTTTCGAAATGCGCCTTCTGGCGGTATCGGTTTCAAGTGGATGTAGAGACCGCACCGGGGACCTTGACCATGATGTGAGGGCCACAAAAAGGAGACGAGCATAGACAAGCTGCATGAAGGCAGCTGGCAAACAGCTTTTGACTTTTGACAACTCTGTGTGAGGCAGGTTCGAACCTGGTAATGGGCATCCTACACAAGACTACAAGACCCATATCCTCCGATAGTATCAGGACAAGAAGAGCACTCAGCCCATGAGGAAGCATCAGCCATGGGAGGAAGTCTCCGCAAATTTTCTGTGTGCACTTGGAAAATCTGACTTCTTGACTGGACGATCCCTGTACAGTGCATCCTCCAACAACACGCTTAGGACGTTGGCGAGTGGGAGGCTCCAGCCTGGCACCGGAAACGGCAACACGCCGCATGTGCAGGGTTGCTGTGTTCAGTCCACCTGAAGTGCTTTCTTTTTTAGGGGCTTATGGAATGTACTCAAGCAGTGCAATGAAACTCAGGGGTTCGCGCAGAGGTTGGCGGAAGCCGGGCACGATGGCCATCGATTTTGAGAGCCCCAGGGGATCTTGCGAGTGTGAGTTTGTTGTGGGGAACAAGGTGATGTCTGTGGAGCCTCCTTCCTCGGCAGCTTTCTGAAATGCAGCGACGTTCGATCGTCTTTTTGCGGTGCTGCAGAGAGGATGACCTTGTCTGCCACGAGCCGTAGAGAGGCACAAAAGCAGAACCGACACGATGACTCGAGTTCGAGACTCCGCCTCCCGGTCGATCCCCTAGCTACGCAAGCCCTGCGCAGGCATAGATGGAGAGAGGACTTGACGGAACTTTCCGTCCTGTGAATGAGCGTTGAGTTGAGTGGCTGGTGCTTTGGTTGCTTTGTAGGGTTTTGGGGATTCAGAAGTTCTGGTCATGGGGAAAGCGGCACCTCAAGCAAAAATTATACCCACAATCGAATGTGACGTTCGCTATTTCGAGGGTGGTTGGTTTTGCAAGCTGCCTTCTAAGATCTTCTAAGTGAAGCTAGGCGGAGCTTGCATTTTCACTTGGTACATGTTTTCAGGAGCTGAGGTTTGCAAGGTCACTTGAGGGTCTTCTCATCCTTGAAACCCGCGGGTTGGCAAAGTGTGTGGATTGATGTCGACGGCACATGACGGCACGCACACCGACACATGCCCAAGCCGACCATAGGAGGCAGAGCAAAGCCTCCAATGAAATCGGCGCTGTCGAACCAAGAGCTCCTTTTGCCTTAACCCATCACGCGGTCCTTCAGAAGCGATGGGCCAGAAACCTGGAAACCTTGCAAGGGAGCACTTGGAGTTGGACCTTCGAGCTGTTCGAGTGGTATAATTTTCGGTTAAGCCGACGAACTAAGTCAAGCCGGATAAGCTGCCATGCAGCCGCCAAGTTGCGGCACAGCACGGTCTACCATCGTGTGGCGTGCTCAGCCGGGTTTGGGCCGTGGAGCTGAGATGGGCTGAGGGCGGCTGCAAGGGCGGAACGGGCTCCCTGAGTCTCCCAGCAGTACAACTTCAGGGTCGCAGGCTGCACAGTCCCTGGTTCATTCCTAGGTAGAAAGACTGCCGAAATGGTGCAGCGCAAAACAGAAGCTACAACGGTGAAGTAAATCTTCGAATGAGGGAGCGGCTTGCGCATTGCCTGAAGCGATAGCCTTTGCCCTTCCATGGCATACGTAGAGTCACGGAAAGCAAGTTGCATGCGAAGCCACAGCTCAGCACTAAAATTCTAAGCTATGTCAGATGTCCTAAATATAAGCTGCAAGCCCTTCAAGCCCTTCAAGCCTTCAACCCCTCAACTCAAGAAGCTCCCGACTCATATCTTGATATATCTCCATCTCATCGAGAAACAGGTCGAGAAGCGAGCACGCCACCCAATCTTCTTCCACGTTTAGGGCCTTGGGACCAGGAAGGTTTGCAAACTTGAAGGAGTGTTCAGGGTTCCGGGACATTGGGGCTCCAAAGTTTAGGCCGGTTCCTTTTGACAGTTAGCCAAGTCCGTGGCTGAACTTAAGGAACTCGCTTGGCGGCACTTTCAGAACTGAAAGGGCTTGAGAGTTCATCATGATGCGTTGCTGTGAGACAGCGCATCAGGCACCCACTGTAGCGTTCGCTTGTTGGTTTCTGGGTGCTTTGGGTTTCGGCTGGGGGCTGCATGCTGGTGCCCGTCCCAGTCGAACTTCAAGGGCGGGCCACTGCGAGCGAATAGCTATACGAAACGAGTTCCTCGAAGTTCCTGGGCCCTTTGCCTTTGGGCTATGAATACATGCATCTCTCCCCCCCTCCCCCCCCCCCAAAAAAAAAAACAAAAAACACAAGTAAATAGAGCTGTGAGGCTCTTACATGTCTTGGCCCGGTGGACCTGCAGATCTTACCCTTGTTGCAGATGCAGGTATCTCTGTCGTCTGGCATCGAGCCGGAAGCAATGCCAGAGCACACCAGTGATCAGCCACTTGGGTCCTACTATATGGGATGGCTCACGCTCGTGGCTACTACCCTAAGCCTGAACCAACCATTCGTTCTGGGGTCGTTGCTGTAAACATTGCTGACGTTGGTGGTTCAGATTGAGGGCGCCTGTTTTTGGCACCTTCAGTGTTGCAGTCAATCTATGCCATCGAAGTCATTGAGATGAACTCATTTCCCCCTCCCCCCCGTCTTTTCTTGTTGCGGCATGGACGGGCAGTGCACCTGTTCGCAGGCTGAGTTGGCTTTGTTCGCTGTTGCTCTTCAACCGCCCTAAACCATCCTTAACCCCAGGCCCTAAGCCCGAAACATGTTCACACCGAGTCCCAAGCAAGAGACGCTAAGATCCACAAAGACTCAAGGCCTCAGAGCTTCAACTCCGACCTTCCCAAACCCCAAACCCTAACTCCCAAACCCTAAACCCTAAACCCTCAACCCCAAACCCTAAACCCCAAACCCTCAACCCTAAACCTTAAACCCTAAACCCTAAAGCCCAAACCCTAAAGACCGAGGCCCGCCTGTGGATGGCGCGCCACGCTCTGTGCCCAGCGTGCTCATGCTGGGAGCCCGGCGGGCACATGGTGATTTGGGCATCTTCTCTAGGCTTTTGAGGGTTTCGGTTGCAGAACTTTAGAAGTTTAGAAGTTGAGTGTTCAGAAGTTTGGGGTTTTGGGTTTTTGGAACATAAGTGCAACTAACCTTGGAAGCTCACTTTGAGCCAGTGAGCCGGGGCTGCGCGCCGCCTGTAGGTTGAAGGGCTTGCGAGGATTAGGGGTTGGGATGTGCCCCTTGTACTTTAACAGTCCTTAATGGGGGGTTTTTACTACCCCCTTTTTTCTAATCTCTACTAAGTAGTGCAAGGGGGGACATCCCAAATTACTGTAGGGGCTTCGTGAAGAGTTTCACTCGACATGTTGGGGCCTACTGGCTATTGTTTGGAGTCGAGCCTCTATGAGCCTGCATTAAGTTCTCGAGCTCATCTCCCAGCTCACATTCCATCCCTTCAGATGAGGAGGCATTCAACCCAACATCCCCAAATCCAACCAGGATTTGGTGTTTCAAATTTAAAAAGCCTTCCAGATTCCCAGGTACCCTCCGGCCCCACAAAGCTTCCGCGACGTCTTCGCCTCTGCGGGCGCCTCGCTGGTGTCTGGTCATACTGCAGGCCGATCAGTTTCAGGGATGGGGTTTCAGAAACCTGTTGAGAACGGGGAATTCACATGAGAAACCCTCCTTATTCAGACAATACAGGGGCTTCCAGAAACAAGGGGGCGTAAGCAAAGCGTTGTTCCGTAAGGTAGCAATTCTGGGGCAACGTTGTTTCTGCAAGCGTCGTAAGCTGTTAGTTGTTGCCGGCGTAAGCGGCGTACGCAGAAATAGCAACAAACGCATGCCGCACGCACAAGTTGGAAAACGTAAGCTACCGTAAGCATGTTTGTTTGGTTTCGGGCACCGCTCACATGATTCCTGCTTGCGTTCCGATGCATGATGTGTTTGTTGGTTTGCTTGTTTGTTGGAATGCCCAGCTGCCTATGTAAGTATACCAAAATCTCCCCCAAAACCCTATACATAATTATCAAGGCCCCTAGAGTGCTCAATATCTAACAGGCCGACCACCTGGGGCTCTACAGTTAGAGATCGCTGACCCATGGAGTCAAGTGTTGACTGAAGTCGGCTTGGGCTGTCTCAGCCTCCCCACAGGGGTCTGGGTCCTGGGTCATGGAGGATGGAGATGATCTGCCTTTCAACCTCCCCAGAGACTCCGAAGAGGACGAGGACCAGCTGCCACTGACACTGGCAAGGGACTCAGATCCTGATGACCATCTGCCCCTGACCCTGGCAAGGGATGCAGATCCTGATGACCAGTTGCCACTTACCCTGGCAAGGGACTCTGATCCTGATGATCATCTGCCTCTGACCCTGGCAAGGGACTCAGCTCTTGATGACCATCTGCCCCTGAACCTGCCCAAGCACTCCGAAGCTAGCTTGGATAATTTTTTAAGCTCTGATCAAGCGGCGCTCAACTCAGTATTGATGAACATCCTTTCTAAGTTCAGTGAGCTGGATGCGGATGGTTCAGGCGCCATTACAATGGACGAACTTGCTACCCACTGGCTATCTGCCGCCACGGAGGTGTGCAAGCGGCCACTGAGTGATTCAGAGAAGGACCTGATAGGCGCGAGTGTTCAGCGCGCCTTTGATGTCATGGATGTTGAGCAGGATGGCATGATCAACAAGCATGAGTGGCTGCACACCGCCCTGCTCGACATGCATCCACCGGGCCCAGTGGCCAATGAAATCATTACCCGAAAGCTGCGTGAGCCGGATGCCCCAGACGTATCGGGGCTTGTGCATACCTGGCTGTCTTCAGATGAGTTGGTGTGCGGCAGCTTGTTTTCTTTGGGGAGGAAGTGCCCTAGACGGCTCTAGACACCAAGACGTCCCAAAGCCTTGACGAGTATGTCGAGTATCCTGAATTCTGTGGGTCGCCTTGACCGCCTAGGTATGGTCACGCGGAAGATGCTGTCGACCAGCCTGAACGCTGACCCCGACGTGCTGGATGTCCTCAATACCACTGGAAATGAGAATATCACATATGCGGAGTTTGTGGCTAGTGAGCTTCATTTGACCTTCATGCCGGTGGAGCTGTACTACTATGACCTCTCCAAGAACTTTGCTTCAGTTCTCTCACCAGTTCTACTTGGCCAGTACGAAGAAGGCATATGGCATACCAGTGTGGGAGTTTTCGGTCAGGACCTTTCTTCTTTCTTCTTGATCAGCCCAGGGCTTTGCGAAGGGCATGCTTTGTGCATCGTATAGTCCTTGAAGTAGGCGTGTAGCCTGAAGTTTACAGAGCTAGCAGTGTGCATTCCGCATCAATGCACGCATACCACGCATGTGCTTGTGATGTGCGTCGCGCATTGCACTTGGGGGACGTCTACACGTTGAAACAACAAGCATCCTGTTTACTGCAGTGCCGAGCCATACCATTTGGCCCATTCATGCAGGAGCTCTACTTCTTTGGCTACATCCTCACCTGCTACCCGGGACAGAGCGCCTTCGGACAGCCTAGGAAAAGCATCCAACTTGGCCACACGCTTCGTACGGTGGAGGAGCAGAGTGTGGCTTCGTTTCAGGGCATTGGGGCAAATTCAAGGGCTGTTTAGGCCACCTTGCCCCACCGTGGTGCCTTGACTCGCGTCCTGCAGATGAGCTGATTCGGCCCTGCAGCATGCCACGAAGTGCCCGGTGTTCGTAGGAGTTGAACGAAGAGATCAAGAGGGTCTATTTCGATTACCGGCCTGACCTGTACGATGCCTTCGACCACAACTGCAACGACCTGAGCCCCGGCCACATGGAAAGCTGAAACTTGTAAGGGGTGCGTGACATGCACTACTGCACACCAGCACCGTAGCTCATGAGCCTCTGGTTTCGTTCGCTTTGCTGGCCGTCGCAACGCACGTGCGGTTGCGCCAATGAAAGGCACATGGCTATGAAGTAGTCCGAAGGGCTAAGGTGGCTAAGGCCAGTTTATTCCCAGTTCATTCTCACCCTGAAGCTGTGGACCCGACAGACAGGAGCAACCACATGGTGCAGTTTCTGCTGGGCCGACCCATTCCCGACTCAGTGCGTCTGATGTCAGAGCGGCTGAGCCATGGTGGCAGTTGTATCAGTAGTCAAGGAGTAGCAGCGGGACTAGGAGAAGACCAGTCATCGCAATCGTAATCGTACAAGGGAACAGCCATAGCAATTTTGCAATAGTAATCGTAGTCCTCGTCATCGCCGTAGCCGTCGTCGCAGCTGAGGTAGACATCGTAATAGTCGTTGTGGTAGATGTCGTAGTCGTCGTCGCAGTCGTCCTCGTAGTAGTCATGGCTGTCGTCCAAGCTGACGTCGTCGTCGTCGGCGGTGATGGTGGTGTTTTTGTTCTTGTTGTTGTTGTTGTTGGTGGTGGTGGTGGTGGTGGTGGTGGTGTGAGGCAGTTCTAGCTTCACAGTCCGAGCAGCATAGTAGGCGGCCTGCCACAACACCTTAGCTGTCCCTCCACCGTATATCCAAGCTTGAGGAAGAGCTCCTCACTGGTCAAAGTGCTCCGGCCGATGCTAAACAGGAGCCGCATGCTGGGGACTGGCCGTTTAGTCTGAGAATTGTAAAGCCTTGCTAATGTGACCTTGTGACTTCAAGGTGTTTCAAGGCTTTTTGAGTTCATGTGTGCCAGGCATTGGGGCTCCCATCTCGTCTCCAGTGGAGTGACGTGAAGTTTTTGTGTTAGAAGCCTTAGAGACCAAACAGGTTATGGCCCCCACTATTATTATCACTTCGTTCTTCCTTTTAATTGGAGAAAGTGAAAAGGTACCAGAGATTGAGGGTTGTGTCCAAGAGGTAGAAGTGCCCGAGAGATAGGATAGTTCTCTTCACTCGTGACCCTTGCATTCATGGGCTAGTCTCAAAGTTGGGTGTTTCGTTCACTCCTTATAAGATGTATCCTGTCCACATGGTTGCGTTCACCTTGTTCAGGGGCGTTAACAGGGTCTCAAGGGCGGATTCATGGGCAAGACTGACAGGTGGGATGGATTCCAGAGAGTTGTATCCTGTGTCGCGAAGCATTAATAGTGGTGATCCGTGAAGAGGGAACACATGGTCGAGTGAATGGTTGTGCTGCGTTCCCCGGGGATAGAATACTAAAGGTGAAGAGAACAGTGTGAATATGATTGTAAGGGAAAGAACGAAGTGAATGTACGCACGAATCATATGAACACGTGAACGAAACAACGGAACAAAGAAATGAATTGCGCGCACCGTGAAGAGAATTATGTGCGCTATAATATTATAGTTGTCTTTCCTTATAATACGGGCGCATATTATATTATTAATGGAGCGCCCACGAAGATAGCAAAATAACCCATCCCATTCTATGCGTGTATAGGATGATGCGGGTAGTTTCCCTCTTGCTCGTTCAGCCCCATGATTCAGTTTGGAGTGTCAGGGTGGCTCGACTTGCTGGGCTTCAGAGCTGAGAGACGGGGTCGTAAAACATTGCTTGCAGATACGCCCAGCAGCCGGAAGCATCGAACTGCGCAGGATGCTGGGCAACCGGCAGACCCGCGGAAAGCAGGATGGCGAGGCCTGGGTTTCTGATGGCAGGGCTTGGGAGCGGGTCTTGCAGCTTCGAATTGGTGGCGCTTTGGTTGCGAGGTGTGGGTTTTGGGGGTGTCAAGAACCTTGGGCTATTCGGGATAAACTTAGGGACTTAGGGTTTAGGGTGGTTTAGGCAACTCAGTTCCTGCAGTGCCCTTGTTATCTCCGAAGCCTCGAGCCCCTTTCGATGCTAAACCCTCGACAGGCACAGCAAGCCCCACACTGCTCCCGAATCCTCAAATGCCCCCTGAGCCTCAGCCGTAAATTCCTAAGCCCTCAGCCTCAGGCCCTAAACCCTAAACCCTTTCACTTCTTGAGCCCTCGGAGGACAAGCTGCTTGAGCTTGAAGCATCGGCCCGCGCGCGGCGCAACAACGCCCGTCACCAGCGGCCAGTCCAGGAAAGGGCGCGACGGCGACGACGGCTCTACTGCTATTACTTGCTATCGTTTGGGGGTTTACGAAAATGCGGGTACCCGTTTGTGGGGGCTCCTTTAAGGGGGATGCTATTCTATTTGGGGTATGGAAGGGTACCCATTTTTTTTGGAGATGCCCATCTGTTGCTCTACTACTCTTTGCTGATGGGTACTTACGACTTGCTACTGTTTCACCACACCCACTCCTACTTACCACTACATACTATCACCTCCCAGTCTGTACAACTATTTTCCTGTACAAGCTCCGACTTCGTTGTTTTCGCGCAGGGTTTCAGGTTTTCATGGTCTTGGGCCTACAAGGTTCTAGGTTCAGGTCGAAGTTTTATGGACCTCCTAAACAACTCATGCGCCAAACGAAGGAACTCGTCGAACTCTGCATTGAGCGTCGACAAGCATGTCATCTCCGCGAACAGCTTGAACCTTGAGTTCGAGGCATTCGGGACTCACGAGCTGCGCTGTCTGCTGCTCACAAAGAAGATTCGACCCCCTAAACCCTAAACCCTAAACCCATCTTGGGGCTTTGGATTGGTTCCGCTCTGTATGCGGTTCTTGCTTCTCCTGCTACGAAAAGCGAAGGTGCAGGGTCGCAGCAAATTGGCGTCTTGGCGTCCACATGTCTCATGCTGAACCCCACCCCTGACATACCCCCAACCCCTCAGTGCCCGAAAGACTGCGAACGTTCCAGCATACCCCAGCGTGTATATGTCAGCCGTGGCTATTTGTATCAATCGAAAGCCTTGGTGCCAAGCCCAATCGGGACTTGCGCGTCACACAAAAACCCGCTTTTTTGCCTAAAAAGCTCGCGAAACTGCCTGCAAGTGATCTTCCACATCCCCAGTCTGATCCCCAGAACTGGAACTTCTGAGCTTACCTTGATCAGGTGGCTGGTTCTCGGGAATCCCAAGCAACAATCAGGAATTAAGTGGAACTCAGCACGCGCCTGTTCTGGGGACCATGTTTGCAGTTTCTTCGGCTCTGCCTCACATCCGTCAGTCTGATTATCACAAAAAGTTGAGTGGTGTGCAACCACCAGTTCACAACGAAATGCAAAATGTGTGTTGCAACCACGCCTAGACTCAGACGTCACAGACAGCACATTCCAAAAACCTCAACATTTCGCGTGCGAATGCGCGCTGGGCCCAGCGTGGTTTCACATTTCCGCCGTGGGTTAGAACGCCCGGTGCTGGGAAGAGAATCAAGCAGGGCTTTGTCATGGAGCTCGTCGGACAACAATGCCGACTTGGGCAAGTAAATTGCAAGTGGCAGCAGCTTTCGGTTGACAGGAAGACACAGTGGCCACATGACGGCGAGAACAGCGGGCCGCGTCAGGATCCAGAAACAGCAGCCTTGATAAAGTTGGATTGTGAACCGCCCAAGCAAGTATGGGCGACACTTTCGGCTATGTGCTACGATTGCTGCAACATGCACCACGAGCGTTCCATGATTGGCGTGTAAATTGGCACCAATCGTCTGTGCCGTAAGTAGGACTTTCAGAACTACCATGTTTTCTACAAAAAGCATGCCTATCATGTGCAATGCAAATGTCATCTTCTGGAGAGGCCTCAGCCTACACAGCCACTGCGTGCCCCAGCAGAACATCCAAAGAGAGCACCAGCAGAACCCACGGGCAGTTTCAACATGAACCTTGTTTTTACGAGCGCAACTTGAAGAGTTGTTTTGTGGTACTGTACAAGATAAAGCCGGTGTACGAGGTGTTCAAACATAAAGTCTATTAAGTTTTCAAGGAGAAAGTACTTCGAAAGCCTGGCACTGTCAAGGTACGTTTCCAAACTTTGACATTGAATTTGGCGATTTCCTTGGTTGTTGCCAACGGGCGGGAGCATGTTTGCAACGGGGCATAGATTTTGCTCGACTGCGCCAGGGCCCGGATTCCGAGGACGGGGATGCTGGGAACCCCCCCCCCCTCCCCTCCCGGATGAATCATTTAATCGCACTTGTGCCATGGGCCCTGACTCTTCCTGCACCCTTCACACTTGATGCAGGAGACGTCAACCCTAGGCTTGATTCTTGTGGGCCCCTCACAGCTCCAAGAGTTTAAAAGCTCTGCTGAGATCTTACCCCTTGGTAGTCCAGGGGTACCCTTTTGCCCTAGGGTACCCTTATCATGAGATGGTCACTGTGCACCAAGTTTTACTTTAGGTCCTAGACCCTGACTCCCCACATTCTGAGCTTGCCAAGCTATTCGCAACCGTCATGCATGCAGATATGTAAAGCGACAATTGTTTGCTTTGAACATCCCCACCCTAAAACGAATGGGCACCCTAAACCCTAACTTGGCCCTCTTGAGATTCCCTGCCGGGTTTTATTTCCCGGGAGGGCTTTCAGGGATGCGATTCTCTGTCTGATTCTCCAGGGGGCGGGGGGTGGGGGGGGGGGCCCCTGCAGGAGGTGGGGCACTCCAGGGATGCGCAGTCGGAATCTCTGGGGGTGGGGGCACCCCTGGTGGCAAGCAAATCAGTGAAAGAACACAAAACAGATATAACAACATTCTATCGTCTAACCCTCCAGCCTTGGCTTCGGGCCTTGGGGTTCAGGGCACAAGCGTTCGGTTAGTGGTGGAGAATGAGTTGGCCATGGCCATCCCTGAAGGAAGACAGCGGGCCGAACGCGGCTGGGATGGCATTTGCAATGGCAGGGAAGGACCCATGCATTCAAAAGCTGCCTTGGCTCCCAAACACCCCACACGCCCTGCTGAGCATGCAAACTGCTGCGGCTAGCGAGGATGCAGCCCCACGGCAGTTGACGGGCATGGCTTCTGACCTGCAGCTAAGGGGCTTGCCTCCAGTAGGGTTTACTTTTAACGGGCTATAGGATGTGTAGGGTATGCAGGGTGGATGAACGCACTGCTTTCACGACATCACACTGACTGACTGACTGGCTGGTTGTGTTTAGGGTCTCAAGGGTTTAGGGTCTCAAGGTTTGGGTCCGCTGGGTTTGAGCTTTAAGCCAACTGGGAATGTATTGAGTGAACTTTGTATTTTCTCAATGTTATGGGTTTCTTGGGTGGGTGTTTTTTGTCTAACGCTTGACAAGCTGCCCGACTAGTGAATGCTCGGACTTGAGATGCTGAACCTTAAACCCTAACCCCTAAACCCTAAACCCTGAATCCTAAACCCTGAACCCTGAACCCTGAACCTTGCCAAACAATTTCAGCTCTGAGGTTCTCTTTCGGGCCAGCGGCGCCAGCGCACCCGTAGTGGCGCAGGCTAATGGGATTTGGGCTGGGAACGTCCCTAGGGACCCTGAAGGGTTTAGGAGCAGGCCCTTGCCCCGAAAGGCAAAAGTACTACTACACCTTGCGCATCTGCATGCAGGTATACGTGTGTTTTGTTATACTTGTTTATTATGCCTCCTCGTGCTTATGCTAAAGTGTCTTCCTTGCAACATGGCTTGCCAGTACTGTCGCGCAAGTAGCGCAGCAGCCGCCTAGCAAGATCTAGCAAGGGATTACCAACCGATCTTACATAGGTAGGGGGTTTAGTAGATGATTATACTCATGAATATTGTTCACAGGGCTTTATTCATCCTAGTTTCTATCGCATTTCGAAGATCACAAGCCCTCCAAGAGGTGGAGATGGAACACTCGGACGGGACCTTCGACATCGGCTGGTTTGACCAGACGGGCAGTAAGCAGCAGGCGGCTGGCGTGCCTTTACAAGCACATATTATCGCTGTAGCAGTCTTGTGCAGAGTGTCTTTTAAGAGCTCCCTTAGAAGACCAAAAATAAGTGCCACACCATCCCAAAGCTTGACTCCTCACTGGCCTGCTATACACACTTCTGTTCTGTTCTGAGTGAAAGAGTTGCTCCGCTCAAAGGTGCCAGGGGCCTCCCTGGAGCCGTACATCCCTGCCCTGCAAGCCAGCGCTTTGCTGAAGGAGGTTTTCAGAGCCTTGCCTGGGTTTTCAGAGCCGATGGGGGAGAGAAGGGGGGGGGGGGTGTAAGAACACAGCCAGCTCCTCTCTCAAAGGGCAAAAATGTTTCCCTCAGCTGAGGCCGGGCTAGCCAAGCTTTGCCCCCAACCTTGGATCGGTGGTCCAGCATGGACATTGGCAGGGGCGACCTCCAGCGGGCGATGACGTGCTTGGATGGCCACCCTTTGGTCCGGTCTCAGCCAAGCTATTGGTCCTCCTCGGTACAGTGCCGCTTCTGCCAGGTTGCGATACCTGCAGGGCAGGTGCGCATGCATTGCTACAGCTGCAACTACACGCTCTGTGGGAAGTGCTTCCTACAACACCAAAACCCGAACGTGGGTCAGAACCTCGCGGGATTCGAGGAGGTCCGCCATTCCCTGTCCGTCTGGCCCAAGTGCGATAAAGGCCACAGCTTCGAGCGCTTTGGAGGTGGCTCTTCTGATGGGGGCACTGCGTGCAGCTCCTGCAAGCAGCAGGAGATTGGCAGCACGGGCCGGTGCCTCAGGGGTTTGCATCCTACGGGGCCCCTCTTTTCACAAAAGTTCGGCGCCCAGTCTCCCGTAGTCTGCTTGTCCAGGTCCATTTTTCCTGATTTGCCGGTTTTGCCAGCAGCAGCTTTGCCATGACTGTGCTCGGAGATCCATCTGTGCACTGCTGGATGTGCCTTCGGCCTTCAAGAAGTTTGCTTTGTCGGGTTTAGGGTTTAGGGTTGTTATCTGTTTGTTTAAGCCCGTACCCTCGCTTAGCCTTGTTTTAGTATACGCCCGACATGCGCAACTGGTCTCTAGTCGCAAAGTCTTCAAAACACAGTCCTAAGTCGAGCGGACAGCTCTCTTCTTCGTCTCTGATCCTTGCGAGTTCAAGTCACTTTGACAGTCTTTGAACGAAGAGCCCGAAGAATTCTCAGGGGTTTAGCGTTTAGGGTTTAGAGCAGCTTCGGAATTAGGGGGATGTGGGATTCGGCTTCACGGAAGGCTGCTTACGAGCCTCGTGTGGCCCCTGCTCCAAGTGACGTGGTGGACTCCGAAGCTGTTCGCCGCGTCTTCGCAGCGCAGGGGCGGAGAAAGATCCTGCCGGGGATTGACCAGGATGGGGTATGAGGCCTTATAAACCCCATATTCAACCCTACTTAGGGCCTTTTTAAGGGGTCAAAGGGTAGGATAGCCCATCCCGGCAGGGCGAAGTTACCGTTCGTGTGTTAGGCCTGTCCACGTAGGTCGGTGTAGGTATGTGTAGGTCCTGTAGGGTGTAGGGTTTTGGGGCTTTGGGGCTTTGGGAACCCAGACTCTCGGATCGTGGCCATGTCATGCCCAGTGTGAACTGATGTGAACTGGGCACCCCTTACACCCCCTGAATCAGGGGTACTAGTTTGTTAACATAGCTCATCATGCGTCCATGCCGCAGGAGAATTGCAACAACACGCCGATCGCTCCATACAAACACATGACACGTAGGTGCCCGGTTGCTCTTACGGGGGGCAGAAAGGGATGCCCAAACCCGATGCCCTACCACAAAACCCAGGTGCAACAGGGTTTCAGAAGGGAGATGAGAACTCGTCTCAGAGACGTAATGCGTCCGACGGGGTTTTGGGTGATGTAGTGAAAGTGGTGAGTTCGATTCGGGTTGCCACCGCGGACTGCGTGTGGAGACAGTGGACGCCTTGTTGATCGAGTTATCGCCATCGTTGCAGGTTCCTGCGGCATAGCTACAATGCTGGCTCCCAAGAAGTGTATGTTCGTGTGCAACCGCCTTCATTTGGGTCAGGTATCGGTCTGTATCAGAATTAGGATCATCCAAGGAGAGACCCTAGACTCCCTAGACCCTGCGGGGCCAAATCTACTCATCGGATCCTCTGCTTGCCCAGCTCGCTCACCCGAGGCCCCAATCGGATCAAGCAACGCAGTATGCTCAAAAGCCTGATTGATCAGGTCAGTAACGGCACGTGACTACGAGCAAGATTTTCCGGGCCCTGAAGCAAGGAAGACTTCAAAAGGACGAGAGGCGTCACACAGCAAGCTCCTTCTGTACGTGACGCAGCCCATTGTCGGCGCCTGTTCCCATAGCTCTCGTGGTTCCGGCTGGTCCTCGCATAACCCTGAGTATGGGTGCGACACGGTCCGGTTTCAGGGTTAACGTGCAAAGACGACACCGTGCATTGGGAAATTTGGAGGCTTCCACAAGCGAAGCCCCCGAAGCCCCCACTCCAACTTCTCCTTGAATCTGCTTATGCTCCCGACTTCCAAGCTTCAGGTTCTTGCGGCCCAAAAAGCTTGAGGCTGTTGCGGCCCGAAGGTCTACCCACAGAAACTGTGCCTGGTTGATTCTGACAGCGAACGCATGATTCTCGAGGCCACTTTCAGTCACAGACCCTCGGCAAGGAGGAGCGCTTGGGGCAGGAAGCTTAACAACATACAGCCGCGGTATCATCCGTAGGCACCTGCAATGAAATCTCGAAAAGGAACGCAAGTCAGCAGACACAGCGGTGGCCGCTCTTTCGCAGGAGTGATCAGTGTTTGCAATGGATTGTGTTGTGGGCTTGTGGAGCTGCGGCCTTTGATGGCAGAACGCGGTTGAGGAGTTGGAAAAACCATGAAAAAACCCCTGAACCGCAGACACCCTGCCAGCAGACATCTACATGTACTTGCAGATTATGCTGTGGGCAGCTCTGAGGGTTGTTTTTCCCGAAAGCATCGCGAAGGGTTCTTTAGCGGAGGTTCGTTTCTTTCCCTGCTTTCCCTCATTCCACCTCTCTTCCTTTTATGGTCCTCTTTGTTTTGTAGTTGATGTTTTACAATTCAAATCGTCGCACCTTCTTTTGAAACGCCTTGTTGAAACACTTCCGGACACCCGCCGTTGAGTCTTGGGTTGGAAACTCCTCGGCCATCGTTTTGGGAGCTCGAGGTCGTCAGCCACCACCCTGAGAAGCAGGGCGCTTCCAAGTCTCGACAGGCCCTGTGCCCAGACTTTTCGGACGTCTTGCCAGACTTGCGAAATTCAGGGGACAGAGGGCTCTGCGGATTTTATATCTTTGCGGTCTGAACTTGAGATGCTTCGAACTTGTGACCTGTGGCTTAGACCGTTGGGTTGAAAGTGCCATCAGCTTCAAACTACGGACGGACACGCCGTACGGCACGAAGATCGGCCAAGTTTACCGATATCATGGCCATCCCAAACACTCCAAGACCAATCGCTACTGTATCTGCAATCTTGTGCATAGAGGACTAAAAGCACATGTAAGTAACTGGGCACCATGGTTGCAGGTAAAAAACTCCACGGCCAAGACCAAATAATTGTGTCTCTGGCAGTGGGGCCAGTGTCGTCCGGCAGCTCGATTGAGGTCAAAGACAACTTCGTGAACCGGGTCGCTGAGAAGTGCGGCGGGGCCGTTGTGCGCATCCAGACGGAGCAGAAGGCTCATGAGCCCAAAGCAACACTGGGCTGAATTCGTATTGCTCTCTTCGCTCTTGCTGTTGCTTTGCACGCGCTCCGTGTCTTTCAGACAGCTTTTGACACTGCCGACTGTGAGGTGGAGATTCCCTCCTTCGGCAATGCCGACATTTTCTCTTTCTTCTTTGGAATCAAACCGGAGGTCAATCAGAAGGACCCTGTTGAAAGCCCTGCTGCTGACGTCACCGCAGTCGCGACTACTCTGCGCATGCAAGCTTATAGGCAGAAACGGCTTGATGTTCGTGACAACGACTTGCTAAACCGAGCTAAGCGCCGAGACAGCTTTGGTGTCTACAGACAAGCTCTTGTGTCTTGACCGTTTGTACTAGGCTTGGGGTGCAGAGATGCTACCCCCAATAACAATGTAGCAAGCACCTCAGCACCGTGAGGAGTGTGCGGGGGAAACCCACACATGTGTCCACCTCGCCCTCAGTTCGCATCGTCCTTCATCACTTCCTGCAATCTGTTGGAGATTGCATTGACAGCAAAATCCGACCTGAAACCAAGACACTGATCTCAAGTCCTCTGTTCTCCGACCCCTCCTCAGATGGTATGCGTTCTCTGCCCACCAGCAATCCTCCTGAGCTGGGAAGGCCATTCCCTGCTTCTCGAACTGACCATCCACCGCTCCACCCCCTCCAAATCCCGAAGCAAACCGTATCAGCTCTATGACAGTCTATCACACTGAATCACCTTGAACGTGCGAATCCCTAACCTCAGTCGCCTGGGAGGAGCGGAAGATCAAAGGTCAGGGCTCCGGCTTTTGCGTCGATGGCGCAGCGGGCGTGGTGCCTCCGGCAGAAGTTTGAACTTAGGCTGGACAGAATGCCGGAAGGCACAGTGTGTTCCACAAGTAATTGTAATTGTACTTTAGATGCTTGCAAGGAAATCAAGGATGGTCCCTCTGCCGAGTAGTGAGTGAATCACAAGAAGGACGCCGATTATGTGATTTAGGGTATACGAAGTTTATACGGGGTTCTCATATTTACAACCCTTGGGTTACGATCTTCCTCCTCCTTCTTCTTCTTTGTCTGTTTCGGAGGGACGGAGCCAACTGTTCCACTGCTTGACAGAAACGGATTTAAGTGTTCTAAGTTTTACGCCGCCTCCAGAATCTGAGGACTTGGGTGCCTTACACCGGGTTTCATGGGCCACAGTTTGGAAGTCACTGTGTGCGGAACCAAGCCTCTATTGGTTTAAGACCATGAAAACCCCAACTGTGAAACTTGCGCTATCAAACTTCCGTAGGATTTGGCTCAGAGTCCTCTGCGCCAAAAACGAGGCTGCGGGGACTCGCCACCATGCTGCGGCAGCAGCGTAGATTAATCGCGATCTTTCAGCCGCACACCGGAAGGATGCAAAGGGTACTTTGGCTTCGAATGAATGTGAACATTTAGGCATGTGGTCACTGCTGCTACAGATTGGGTCGAGTAGAGGGAACTCATGCCACGCACTCAAAACCCTGACCTAGCCAGCCACCAGAAGATTGTCCACAAGGCAGCACTTGCACCCGTATTTTGCAAGTTGTTATCATTACAATAATAATCGTCATCTTCAACATCATAATAATAATAAGAAGAAAACAATGGTACTACTTATACAAGAATAGTACTGAAATGTAGTTATTTCATCATCATCATAATAAGAACAAGAATCTTGCAGAGGGGATCTTCAGCCCCAAACCTCCCAACCCCAAGCGCCTGCCATTGGGGGCGCGCCCGGGCGCAACTCTGTTGGGCACGATCCGAGCCCTCGAGGATGGAGTCTGAGGCACCCGCCTTCTTCGACAGTATGGGTACTTCCCCCAAAATAGGGGCACCTTCTTTGATGGCCCAAATAAAATAGAATCCCCTCAAAGGGACCCCCAACAAGGGTACCCCGATTTTCGGAAGCCCCCATATCCTGTTGGGGGTTTGGATGAGAGAGTGCCTGAGGTTGCTTCGGTTGGTTTAAGGTCGTCAACGCTACGCTAGGTGTGCACGTGGTGGCCGAAGCGTTAGCCTTTTGTTTGGACACGGGATGGGGTGTACTCCGCTAGCCAGATTGCCAAGTTGAGAAGCCTTGCGGTTCAGGCTGACGCTTGTGAACTGGGGGGTGGGTACGAAGTTCTGACATGATTCAGGCTACCAGCAAGGTGCAGATTAATTCTTGAGTGGGTTGTTTCCAAGAAGCAGCTGCTCGGGAGTTGCCGCATGTTTGTTTTTCAGCAGCTTGTGTCATGTTCAAGTCGACATTCATCCTCTCCATTCAATCAGTCACTGGTTCCGTCCCAACGCACAGGCCTCAACGGGCCCCCCGTCAGCCATGATTTGCAACGCTCATCCCTCTCCGACTCAATCTAGCCTCTGCACCCAAAACAGACGGAAAGCCATAAACCTGAGCTCCTCAACCCCAGGGACCCCAATGGCTGCAGGCCCTGGCAGCAGTCTTGGTGGTGGTGATCCTCGTCCTTTTGGCGCTGCTCTGGCTGCTGACCTTCTTCTCAGGCCGAGGGTTCCTATGTGGGGCCCCGTAGATTGACACAAATGAACACGGAGCCTAGACGCAGGCATATGCAGGCAGAAGGAGCATGGTTTTCGGTATTGTGTGCAGAGGGGGATGTGGGAGCTGGGCCAATCCTGGCAGAATGCATCCGTTCACGGAGGGCTTCATAAAGACACAGCAACTGCCATAGCCACTACGTGACTTTCAGCTGCTTTGCTGACGCTTAATTATTAAGCCCAAGTAATTGAACGAAGGTCATGCTGAACCGCTGGTCAGGCATCGGGCCTACGAAGCTCCACAGCTGGCAGTCAAAGTCCATCCGGTTGTGCAAGAAGCGCAAGAGTGCGAGCCTCAGATGCTGCAGGCTCCAGCACTCTCTGAGTCTCGAAGCCTCGAAAAGCACTTGATCCTGGTGCCTTTGATCTTGTGCTTTAGAGCCCGTTGCACCAAGGATGGAGCTGGACCAAAATTGAGGAGGGCCTCTTTCTCGGAAGCGTCCCACGCAGCCAAGACCACCTCGCCGAGCTGCATCCTGGCGCAGAGGTTTGCCATGCCACATCTTGCCCCCTGAGAGCGCTTCAGCAAAAGGACACGAGGTCATACGAGGTCCATGCTAGTAAGCATAGACAGAAGACCCTCTGCACATCCAAGGCAAGCTGAGAAGGTTTCTTGGCAATCGACGTATGAAGTCGCGCTCACATCAAGGTTTTGGGGGGGTGTCTTTTTGGGGATGCTGGCAAGAAAGCCCCTGCCTCATGGCGGGGGGCTGCCACGAAGAGCACCCGAGGTGGGCGCCGTCGTAACTCTGAACGAAGCCTGGGAGCTGCCACTCTCCTGTGCCAGCATGAAGGCCTAAGTGCAGCTATCATTGGCAAGAGCGCAGAATCTGAGGAGCAAGGCGTAAAGTGACTAAACAACGGAATGTTCCTCCGGAGTCTCGTTTAGGACCCTGGCAGGATATGACTCACAGTGTACTGCGCTGCAGGAGTCTGGCATGAAGCACCTGCATCTTCCGACGCCAGAAGCTTGAAAGCATCTGCTGCGAAAAGAAAGTAAGTTGAGGGTGTTGGTTTCGGCAGAACGATGCAAGCCAACTTCCAACACGTGGAGTTTTGAGCTGCTCCACTTGAAAACTCGTGTTTCACGGCATGCGCAGTACACCCTCTTCAAGTTCCCTAAACTCCCCTCCGCGCGCTGAGGACTTCTTCGCTCCAAGCCTGGATGACATCACAAAGGCCGCTTCAGGGGCCTCCTTGTCTCCCGTTGCCATTTGTCGCAGCTCAGGTCACTTCAAGCTTCAGGGTTTAGGGTTTATAAGGATTCAGGGTCTGCTTTGAAGCCTCGGTCAGATTGTGGCATCTGGCATAAGGCTCCAGCGTAAGCAGTCAGGGACTGCTCTGCGCTGGCTTGCACCGATTTATCAATGATTTTGAGAATGTTGACCCCGGAGCGAACTTCTTGATGCAAACCTAAACCTTGAAACCTTCTCTTGAACCCACCGGCCTAGCTAGTTGCGGCAACTTGGCGTGCTTCCAAAGCTTTCATCTCTGGCAGCCGTGCCGGCGTTGCGTAGGCCAGACGCAAAACGTGTTGTCGCGGCCTACCTTAGTTCGCAGCCACGAGCGGGCAGACACGGCTAGGCGCGGCCAGTTCGACGCCACTTCGTCTGTGGGATTGATGGTTAGCACATTCGTGGGTTTCTTCGCCAGCCACGCCTCAGTGAGAGTGCCTTCCGATGGGCAATGATTGCACGGACAACGCGGGTCCTAAGGCAAACCACCCCGTGTAGGGCCGTGTGGGGCTAAGCCGCTAAGCCCGGCGCGCAGAGCACGCAAGCTCGAAGCGCGCGAAGCCATACGTATAGCGCATGCACCCGAGCTGAACGCCAAGCCGGGGGCAGCGCAGGCACTTTCCCGAAGCCTCCGAGTGTGGCGCAATGCAGGCGCCGAGCGCGCGAAGCCGTGCGAAGCTGTTAGTTTCGGACGATGACATTCCCGGAGGATGGCCTGCGCTTTGCCTTGCGAAACGAGATTGACCGCCCTGGCGGTGTTCGTGGGGTGGGGGATCCCTCGACACCCTGAGCACAAGCACGTGTTGAAACGCGACCAATCACCGCCCGGTGCACCAAGACTCCTCAAAGAATCGGTTGTTCGTAACCGCAACAAGCAACGCGATGCCATCCTCAGGGCCGGTCAGTTCAGGATCAAAGCATCACTGGCAAGTCCACTCCAGGCAGTCGACTTCATCACCGAGTGCCGGAAGCAGGGCATGGGCGTCTATGCCTCTCGAATGCAACAAGAAGGACACTAATTAGCACTAATTTCGAAAAAAAACGCACAGTGGATTTAGAGCGAGAGGGTAGATGTAAAGGACTGAAAACCGAAGCTCAAGAGCTCAGGGGTGGTGGAATGCCGGTTTCACGTTGCAAAGAAAGCCTATGGCTCGTGGCCAGGTACACTGCAATGGAGGCCCGGCGGTTTGGGGGGTGGTTTGGATGTAATATGGAGGTTACGAAAATAGGGGACCCCTGGAATAGACCCAAAATAGTAGGATTCCCTGAAAAAATGACCCAATAAGGTGCCCCTAATTTCGGAAATCAGTATTGGTTGCTTTTTGGTGCTGGATCAGCCATGCGGTCAGGCAGGGGCCGGAGTGCGGTATGTGTTCTTTGCTATATGATCAGGACGCTTGTCTGCATCGATTGGAGACCTGCTGCAGAGTGCGTGTTTCTGTTTCAAGTTATCTGAACCCTGATCTTTGACAAAGTCGCAAAGGTATCCACACCTCAATCTTAGTCAGCTGAGGAACGGCTGGCCGGCAAAGAAGGAGCGAACGCGGTTTACTGGATTGTCGAGTTTCGGGAACGCCGTTTGGGTTGAGAAGACAAGTGTCATCTCCGTCGGAGAACTCTGCGCGACCACGGTTCATCAGAGTCCGGACGATTTAGCCGTCATGTTATCGAGTAGAACCCCTGCAAGCCGAGCCAAGAGTCTTATGACTGCTCGCAGGCCTTCCAGCACGTCAAATCCAAGCGCAATATTGCACCTGGGCGGCGAAAGGAATGTCTGCAGCTTTCCAGCAGGCCCGCCTCATCGTTTAAACGGTGCAAGTCTTGAACTGAGGCAAACATGCTTGTCCTTGACGGTCGGTTCCACAAACAGTGGCGTGCCGCCGGCGTCTTATGTGCATCGTAGATCGACAGGGCTTGGCTTTCCTTGAGTTGAAGTCCTCGAAAACATCAGCCACCCAAGCTTTGGAGTATGCTTCTGCCTTCACTCACAGCCTGACACGCCTTGACACTCCTGTGGTTTCTGATCTACTGGTATCAACAGCGAAATGGCGACATAGACTCCAGTTCCCTGATGTAAGCCGACAAACCAATCCTGCCCACCAGAAGCCTCCTAACCCAAGCCTCCGAAACCCCAAACCCTATAACCCTCTCAGCCTACAACCCTATAACCCTATAACCCTATATACCCTAAATTGCATTCCAGAGGTCGTGGCCTGGGAGCGTCGCGAGCTCGGCAGCCCATCGGGGCGCCAGGGCGCAAGCCGCAAGGTGGCTCCCGCCGACGCGGAGGACCTTACCTAGGGCCTGAAGCGGTTTAGGGTTTTGGGTTTCGGCTTTCAGGTTGGGTTGAACGAAGTCTAGGTCGCACAGGCCAACCAACAAGGGCCCAGAGATATCTAGCAGAGAACAAGGTGTACGTGTTGGTTTGCAGAGGAATTCGGTGCATGTGGACATCCACTCCAGACGCAGCTGTCCAATCGACACCTGTGCTCGTCAACGAATTCGCAAGGGCATCGAAAGATGCATGCGGCCCAATGATGGAGAAATTGCTGCAGGATCAGTTGATGGCCCTAAAGAATCAGTCACACTTTTTTTGAGATCCTTGAAGCACCCTAATCCAGTCCAGTGCATCCACCAGAATGAGTCCCCAAGAAGCAACCCCAGGCCCCAAGAAAGAGCCGTTCAAAACTGGCCCTGTCGGCATTCGATCTTCTCCAGCTTGAGGCTTTTGGACAATCAGGGTCCGCATATGTTGGTGCAAGTCACACAGCTAACAGCAGCTTACTCTGAATCCTAAACATGTAAGTACCCTCGCCCTAAGTCAAGCTCCTAGAGACTAGAGACCCTACAATCCTCAGAACCCAGCAACTTAAACCGATGTGATCGTTAGGCTGCCTCCCGTGTCGAAGATTAGTTCCTGACACGATGATGACGACTCCTCGGGTGGGACCTCGCGTGGTCTCGCTTCGGGCTGGTGCTTCTGAAGGTTTTAAAAGACATCTGCGCAGGGTTCTGGGTGCTTAGGATCCCTAAACCCTAAACCCTAAACCCACCGATCTATGAGTTGCACTGGACTGGATTTCCTGACCCTAAGCCTGAACAGCATGGAGGGCTGAAAACTCAGATAAGCACTTCCCAAAGTGTCAGCAGATTTCTCAACTCCCGACAGCTACCCGAGCCGAAGAGTCTGCATTAAAGCCCCAAGGCAACAGTTCAGCATGGGATCGGGATTGAACGACCCCAGTTGCCTCATCCAAACAGCACTAGTACGTGCTCCCACCCCAACATCACTGCCAGCACGGCTGGAGCAGGGTTTGGAATGGTTTGGAACTGCTGGGTAGGACGTTGCACTTGCATTCGTGCAGATGTATAAACCCATCCTCGCGAGCAGTAGCAGGAGGGTCTGCTGGAAGAGGTTTCTTCGCTTGCCAGGTTCTGACCAATGCCCACGTGGTCCAGGGAGCAGACAGGACTTCAGGGTTCAGCAAGCCCAGGGCCTCTGGCAGGTGAGGAGAAATCCCAGGGGCCCAAAACCCACCGGATGCGAAGGATTCTGGCGAGCTTTCCCGGAAAGCGGGCCCCGGAGCTCAGCGCCCCCCGAAGTCCGGAGATCTGGAGAGTTGAATGGGGCATATTGGTTTTAGTGTGGAAGGGTTTTTTGCAGGATCAGCCATTTTAGGACAGCAAAATATCAAAACAGTAACAATCCTCGGCAGACTCAGGTCGCACTTGAATGTGAGATCCTGGAGACTGATGAGGCATTCCTCTTTTCTTCAGGAAGCATGCTCCTTGCGCTTGGCTTCGGGCTTGGGGACCATGAGAATCAGACAGCTACTGTAGGTTATTTAAACTCTGATGGGGTAGGACGTCAAGTGGCGTAGAGTTGCAACCGACTTAACTGCGGACACTCGGAAGCGAGAAGAGGCCCTAAACCTAAACTCTGCAGTAACCTCCGCCGGCTGCCTTGAAGGTCATAGACCTGGCAGCTCTGCGGGTGAAGGACCTTTGAACTTTCATTCTTCCCAGCCTGGATTTCAGGGTGTAAGATGTAGGGCTTGCTCACGGTAAGGTCTGGTTGGGGTGTTTGCTCTAGGGCTTAGAGTGGTGTTGAGCTGCATGTCCACTAATGGATGGTTTATCTCACTGTCTGGGCTCAAACATAGAATCACAAAGTATCACAAATAAGATGTTAAGTAATAATCAATTCGGGGCATCTCCGAATGCGCGACACAGGTGCTTAGAGGTCAAAGGGCTATGACGCCCAACAAACCTGCAAGTCATCTCCCTGGGTGATTAGTCCAACTAGTCCAATTTGCTTTGGTGGAGTTCAAACTGGGCGCCCGAAGCTATACAATCAACGCTCAGGAAACACATTGCTTCGGCTGATTTATCCCCACAGGGCACAAGACATCTGCACGGGCGAGGCACCAAAGTAGCTTAAGAAGGCAACCCTTAACCACGCAGGCTGCTCTTCGGCTTGTTGCGGCTGTTGTGTACAATTTCATTCATGATCCTCCGCCCTAATTTGTCAACCCAGTGGCAGGACAAATCGCAGCTCCCATTGCCCTCTATGGCCATGGGTGCCAGCGACACAGTGAAGACGGGTGATTGGACCATCGTTCTCGGCCCTCTGACTGCACGAGTGGTTTTGGGGGCTTGCTTTGAATTTGGAAGGTTGGGGCCTAGGCCTAGGAATCAAGGTAAAGCGCCATCCTATTCAAAGCTCTTGCCACCACTGGCAAGATTGTGTTAGAGAGCCCATCAAGTATCCGGACAAAGGAAATCCTCTCGGCCTGCAAAACACGCAGCGGCCCCAGAAGCAGAGCCCTGCAAATGGCTTAGCGATGGGAGTTGTAGGGCTTTGGTTTTCTGACAGGCAACATCCGGCAGGTTTTCGAAGTGTATTGGTCCCAGAACCGCTAAACCCCAGAAGCTACTCGTTTGCCACGGTCAGATTTTGTAAATGTGTCCACCCTTTGTCGAGCTAGCAGGTGCTTAGACATGTGGCCCAAGCGTGGCAAGCTCTGGCCAAACCTGCAAGCACAAATCCAGGAAATTAGTCATTGCAATGGAGCTTCAATCAGTGTCCCGTTTAGTGTTTTGCCGAATTTGCGGTTTTTGGTGTAAGGGTGTTTTGTTTGCAGGTGCACATTGGGTATCGTCTCTTCGCTGGACCGCTCGACGGGCGAAACGGGCGGCGGCCTCAGTACGATTGGAACACGCTCTTGCCGAATGTGTCGCAGCTCGGGAAGCAACAGATGAGGGCTGGCTGATATGGGCCGTGGGAGAATGCATCACTCCTCTCCACAAACATCCGTGCAAGTCTCTGCGGCGTGTGAGGCTTCGACTGGATGCGACACCCACTGATTCAGACAGACGCCGCTGTGAACCAAGGGTGCGCATGGCCAGTTTCCACCCTATAAGAGGTTTTGAGGCCATGCTAAGTCTGCTAAGCATCTGAATCCTCAAGTTGATCGCATGTCGAAGCCGGGTCCTAAAGCGGCCGCTCCAAACTTACTAGAGGCAGCCAAGCTGCTCTGTGACCATAAAGCACTGCTTTTCGGCTATGCACAAGCCCCTTTTTTCCCCTAGCCAAGCCAGTAGCTGAAGACGGCCGTCTCGGCCTCTCCAGTCACCAGTGAGACCCAGCCAGCCTCAGGTCTCCCAGCGGACGCCCTGGTAGTCTTCTGCAGTGTTTGCTCCTTTGGGCATTTCAAGGATTTAGATGCGGAGCATCTCCCAGGCAAATGCGCTGTGTGCCACCGAGAGCGATGCCTGCAGCCGGTGCGCAAACCGGCAGAGGGCGAGACAGGCACCTGGCCTGTGTGGCAATGCAGCGGGTCCTCGGGCTCCAAGTGCAAGAGGCTGTACACGAAGCGTACGTCAGGCAACTGCAGTATGTGCCTGACGCGACTGGAGAAGTTCTTATGGTCCCTAGTCCGGCCTTCCAGGGGGTCGCCAGAGGAGCAGCCTTTCACTGACCCCCTGGTCAAGGTAGAAAACGAGCCGGGCGACGAGGCGGCGGACCTGAGTGAGCAGAACCAGGCCATGCAGCTGGCCATGCGGTTCGTGGAAAAAGAGTCCATGCGAAACCGGGCCTTCACAGTGAGCATCGTGGCAAGAAAAGGGGCTATGAACACGACCTTCCTCAGGGAGTTGGCAGCTTCTTTTCAGGCCACAGTGCGGGAGGAGGGCCAGCGAACCCGAGAGCTCCTGAGCTCGCTGCTCCGGGACCCGCCAGGCTTCAAGATTTAGCGGATCAAGTACTGGGTGCTGACAAACTAACTAACTTTGCTCGGGTGCCAGCAGCCCGCAAATGGACAGGGCACCCTATGAGATCGGCCCTTCGCTTCAGCACCCAGCACTTGATCCGCTACTCCGCTTTGGAGCCAAATCTTGAAGCTGAGCTCCGATGTAGCCTGAAGATGGACCAGTCTGCGGAACCTGCAGTTGTTTTGCGTCGCCCGGTGGTCGCTAGGAGTCGATGAGCTGCGCTGCTTCTGTGCATCTTTCATGTGCCTCTAAGAAGAGGTCTCGTCGAGAGTCATAGCCGAGTTTTCCGAGCTTGAAGGCAAGGGCGGAAAGGATTGGCACTTTTTTTTGGTTAGCAACTCAAGCAACTCAAGTCTCTGCATGTGTTCTTGACCAGAAAGCCAAGCCCTCAAGCTGCCCTTCAGGCTGCCCCCAAGCTGCCTTCAAGACCTAAACCCAAGAGTGAGGCCGAGCCAGAGAGCCAGAGAGAGGGAGAGACAGGAACAGTGGCGGGCCCATGCTGAACGAGGTTGGAGAGGTGCCTCGAAGGTTTTTGTCGAATTCTTGGGGTAAGGGCGGGTGCTTCAAGGTTTCCGGGGAGTTGAGGGGTCGGGGCTTTTGGGGTTTCGTGTTTGAATATTTTTGGGCCATCTGCGCCTCCTCATTCCGGAGATGAAGCAAAGCAGCCCAAGCAGGTTCTTCGACTTAAGGGGTGCGCAATTTTCGCAAGGGAGCAGCTGGGGCTAGGGCTAGGGCATGGAAAGACATGTGCACCGTCTGGTTTTGCTAAACTTGGGAAGGCGTGTTGTTGCTTTCCGTAAGTGTGTTTTGGAGATTGTCGTTGCCAGTGGTGGCAAGTGGCATGTGGCCAAGGTGATCGGGATGATCTCCATGCGGGCGCTCTTCGGTGACTTGTCCGCAGTCAAGGCTGAACGCTGAAGGTTCTCAAGCAACGGCCGAACTCCGGCTCCCGAAGTCAAAGCCTCATAGTTGAGCCCTCAACTTTGCTGTCTTCTGAGTGGGCACCACGTGTTTCCCCGACCTGGAAGCCCCTAAGCTCTAAAAGGGGATGTGAGGCCGAACGCCCCAACGAAGCGACCGAGAAGCAAACCTACTTGTGTCGTCTTCTGCTGTTTTTTCCCCAAGCGGTTCAGGCGAGGGAATCGGCTTCGCCATCCCGGTGGACTCCATCCGGCAGCGGGCCTGAGAAGATTTGCGTTAAGCAGCGGGTTGTGGGGGGCTGACCGCCGCTGGGCGCCCCCGGACTTCGAGTTACGAAACTTTAGGTTGGAGTGGGGAGGTTCGGAGTTTCAGGAGCTTGGTTTAAGCCTGCACTAGGCCACTAGGGGCCTGGAGGGCAAAACCTGTCCCAAGGGGACCCAAGCTCAGAAACTCTTCTGGGTTTTGGTCTCCGGTTGGGGTGTCTTGGGCTTTGCTTCCTTTACTTAAACGCTTGGATGTTTTAGGGGCTCTTCCTAGGGCCCCTCAGTTCTCGTAAGAGCCGGAGTATTCAGTTCTCGCATTTTGGACCCTTGACTTTTGATTCATACAGACCCCCCAGGAGTAGGATCCCCTAAAAAAATTAAGGACCCCCAACAAGGTTTTAAATATCCTGACATTCCAAACCCCCAAATGTTCTTGCTGCCTGGCACTGGCGGCCCTCTGCCCACAGACATCAGGACGGCACTCCCCAGTCTCCTCGCTGGCAAGAAGGCCCGGCCCACCTGCTCGATTCGACTTTGTAGAGCACCTTAGCTTAAGAGCCGGATGCTGGCGTTTGCATGTGCCAGATGAAAAAATTGGTATGAGCGACCCAGACAAAGGCCGACATGCTGATTCAGTCCGGTTCAGTCCTCGGATCTCTGCTTCCTGTCGTCCTGAATGATTGTGGGCAGGTCCCGCGGTCGTACATTGGAGTCAAGATGCATCTCGGCTTCCTCTTTGATCCTCAACAAGCATGGGGGTTTGTGCTTCATGAGTTTATCTACTGTGGCCGGGTTGCGAAATTTCAAGTCCGGCCCGGAATTGTTCCATTGCGCCAACAGTCTCAGCGATATCGGGCGTGTCGCGGTCTCGATCCTCACCACTGTCGTCGCTTCTTTACACTCAGATCGTCCTGACGTGCCAGGAGTCTCATCGTCTTGACGTGTCAGAAGTGCCAAAACTCATGGGATCGCGTGAATCCAGTCCACGAGCCTCGTGACTGTCGGCGGTCTCGTGTCTTGGTTCGGGTCGTGTCTCGTGCCTCGGTTTGTGCCCCATCATCTCCTGTTTTGCATTGCTTGATATTGCTTGTCTCGTGTCTCTCGTGCCCGCCGCGTGGCATTTTGTGTCTAGAGAGCGCCTCCTTGCTGCAAGCTTCGTAGCAGCCGGGGTTTGTGGGCTACCAAGTTGTCAGTTTAGTTCGGGGGCCTTTGCGATCCTCCCTAGAATCGCTTCCAAGGGCGATGCGCGACGACTCCGGGCGTGAGGCTTGATTTGTCGATCTGCCTCTTAACCTCGGGTCTCCATCTGTTTGGAATGTTAGGAATCATGGTCTGTACATGTTTAGAGACTGGCATTTGGGGAGGTAAGGGCTTCGAAGTAAGAAAGGGTTATACTCCTGTTGAACGTGGCCGGGAGTCCTTCAGCAAAGCAGAAACATCACAGCAACACCAGAGGCAGCGGCAGCACCGGGCAGAAAGTCTACATAGAATGCGCAATAAAATGTCTGCTCGTTTAGTCTAGTACTCTCGGGCCTTTTTTGCATTCAGATTGGCCCCTTCAGTTTCGTGTGCGGACTTGCGGGCTGGGGATGTTTGGTTTAAGGTTTCTGCACGTCGCCGCGCGTGCCGCGCAATACACTTCTCAACCACAAGCCCTGAACCCTAAATCCTAAACCCCGACTCCATCTTGAAGTCTTTTAAAGTCTCTCTCGCACCAGCACGCCGTGGTCGACGTGGTCCTGGACGGAAGCCCCGCAGCCGAGGCAGGCCTCAAGGCCTGGCAGGGAACACCAAAAAGCCTATACGACTTGACATCGAATGACAGGACTTCATAGAACCAGTCACATAGACTTGTCATCTACAATATGCCATGTTGTATAATGAGTGTCTATGTACGTGTAGTGTGTGTTTCACGCAGGTGTCCAAGCTTGTTGTGTCGCGACATTGGAGTCAGCGACCTTTCATGAAGCTTGCTTGACGGTAAATACAAATGCCATTCAAAGCTTCTGCCCCCTGGGGATGACGTAATCTACAACCTATCGGTTCTGGGAAGCCGGGATCGCTGTTGAAGTTTAAGCATGTGACAGTAAACAGTGGCCCATACATTCTTGGAATCGAATCTGGGAGAAGCTTTGGGTGGCTGAAACGCAAACAATGTCCCCCTTACGTTTTGGGGTTGCCAGCAATCTGACCTTCATTTCGTCTTGTGCAACTCCCTGCTTGCACTGAGAGGAGTGCGCGCGCACGCGAGCTTGTGTGTGTGTGTGTGTGTGTGTGTGTGTGTGTCCGTCTGTCTGTCTGTCTGTCTGTCTGCCTGTCTGCCTGCCTGCCTGCTTGCCTGTCTGTCTGTCAGGGAGTTTTTTTTTTCTCACAGCTTTTTGAGTTTTGGAGGCGTTGCAGTTGGTCACTGAACCTTCAGTGAAAGGGCCTGGCGCAGCCTTGCACTTGCAAGAGCAAGAAAAGCTACCAGAGATCCCCAGAGCACATAGCCCCGGGAAGAAGTAAGAGCAAAGACACCGTACGCGGAAAGCAGACATCCCCCAATGCTAGGAGTATCTTGTGCCGAACGGGACTTACGGTTTGTGTGTCCTACACTTCCCCGAGGGCGACCCCCAGCCTGGTGAGGTCGGCGATCACATCGCGGAAGTGAGCGGTCGAAAGGTGCGGCATTTCGATGAGGCGCCTGGCGTCCGAAGTCAGGGTAGGGTGGGGGCGGCTCAACATAGTGTTTCGGTCGTCGGAGGTTTCAGGAATGCATCGCTCGGGACTTCTCAACCCTTGAAGGATTTGGTCTACTATCGTATTTCCCGAGTCCGAAATACAGCCGCAACACCCCACACGATGCTGAGCCCTAGCACCTGACCCCTCGGCCACAGCCTTGACGTCCAATGTTAGTTGAAGTGGAATCTGGCAATCCATGGCCCATTCGTGCTTGAAGCACGTGAAGGTGTCAGAATGTGCGCAGAATTTCAAGAAGTTCTTTAACAGTACGGCTTCTCTCTCCAGACTGCCCATGTCGTATATGAAGCATGCCAAGTTCTGTGGGAAATCAAAGTATTCACGACTGAAGGAAAGGCTTCTGCCAGTCCTTCGCCCTGAAGCCCTTGGCCCAAGCCCTGTAAATTAGTTGTCCTTTTTTTGCATGTATGTGTAAAGAAGCAAGTCGTAAAGTCTCAAGCTGAACGCGTTTTCAGCCCAACCACCGACAAGTCCAAACCAACACTGTCACAGACCGAGTGGGTCATGATTGAACCCCAAGGCCGGCCCATGCCGAAGCCGACGCGGCCCAGAAGCTCAAAGCCTAAACCCCGAACACCATGGCCACAAAATCCTGGTTCAGGGTTTAGGGTTCAGGGTTTAGGGCCTCTCTCTCCCCCACCCAAACTTCACAAACAGGTACAGCTGGCTGTCCGATCCCTGCCAGTGGACAGCCGCTTGAAGCTCAAGGCCCCCCCCACTCGGTTTGAAGCGTGGCACTTTAGCTTCAAGATTTTCGGTCTAGCATTAGAGGGTGTGTGTTTTTTCGCGACTCTTTTTGGATTGTTTTTGTTTGGGGGGAGGGTTAGGAAAACTTTGTTTCTCTAATTTTAGGAAGAAAACCCCTAAGAGGACACAAAGAAGGAAGGAAGAAAGAAAGAAAGGAAGAACCGAAACAGAGACGAATGAATGTGAAATAAAGAGGAAAGGAATAGTATTACTGTTACGAGTGCATTGTGCTTGCAAATGCGGGGCGCGCAAAGCCCTCCCCCAACCCCTCCGCTTTTCTAAGCTTCATGCCCTGCAGGGAACTTGCATTCAACACACCGGAATGTTTTCAAAGCACACTTTTACTAGGGAAAACCAAGGAGATTAACAAATCAATGCGAATCCCATGAACATCAGTAGGCATCTTATCAAAATACAGAGGCAATAGAGAATTCCTAAAACATTTAAACTTTTTTCAATACAGAGGCAGTAGAGTTTTTCCTAAGGAGAACCAAAGAAATTAACCAACATAATTCGAACCCCATGCAAACTGGTACGAATCCGATTAACCTACAGAGTTTTTCACCCGAAAAACCAAGAAAACTGACAAAATAAAAACAGTCGAAAAAAAACCGAACAAACCTCCACCCGTTTAGAATTGAGGGGTCAGGGCTTTGGAATTAGGGTTAGGCTTCATGGTTTGGGGTCCGGTTTCAGGGTTGAGGTTTCGGTGCTATCAGCAGCGAGGATCATGCGAGAATGAGAACATGAAGAATGTATAATGCAGACTCCAAGGCTCGCTCTCGCAGCATTCTGCAAGCGGGGAAGGTCCCCGCCTAGTATCAGTTGAACCACCCTTAGCTGAATGTATAGTACTGGAAGCTGCGCCAAAGACAGTCCCATCTTGCAGGTGAGACGTGGCGAGAAGTCTGGAGCCCGGTTCTGGCTGAAGCTAGCTTGAGTTTGAGATTGTATCCTATGAGTGCTTGCGGTGGTCATCCAAGTTCTTTCCGTTTGTTAGCAAGCAGTTCGCCCGTGCAGATCGACGACGCTTGTCGTGACGACAGCAGACATCCGACGTCTGCGGGAGGTGCAATGTGGCATGTTCTTCGACGCTGTGCAGACCGGAAAATGGGGGTTTCCGAAATTAGGGGTGCCTTGTTGGGGTCCTGTTTATAAGGGAATCCTATGATTTGGGGGCTTATTTTATCGGGCCCAAAGAAACACCTCTCTTCTTGGCAGACCTCAGAGCTCGCTGGCCGCTGGCCGCCCAGAGAAGCCACGCCCCGGAACAGGAAATTTCCCCCTCTGGCCAGGCATCGCCAGCCTCACCCGGGGGCCGCCCGCGCGTGGTCGGCCCTTCAAGGGTTTTTCAGGGTTTGGGATCGAGGGTTTAGGGTTGAGGGGTTTAGGGTTGAGGGGTTAGGGGTTAGGGTTAGGGCCGTGTGCGTTTCCCAACATCGGGCGGAAGGGTTCTGTAGGGTTTGGGCACTCGGGGGCTTGAGACACATGCCAAACATTCAGGCAATGTTGGGATGGGATCTCTGAAGGCTTCGATTGCGTTGCTTGCCCTGTACGTCGTTGCAGGATAAGTACAGCTGTTGGGGGTGTAGGGCTTCGGGCTTAGGGAAACCGCATGACATGTGGATCCGACACGTCATGTCTATGTATTTAGTGCTGGGATTGCAGTCCGCGGCCTCATCCAAAAAGCCCCAGCGCCCCTGCAAATCCTCGAAATGTTGTTTGTGAATTTGGGTTGGTTTGGCAGTTAGCAGGAGAAGCTTTCGTCTCCCATGGCCAGGTCATCTTGCCATGAGCCTTGCCGTTCGCGGGCTTGGCATGAAAGCGTTAGCGCCTGTTAGGCTGTAGGATGGCTTAAGGCAGTATGGTGCACAGTTCGCTACGACGATTCGTCGTGTAGATAATCTTGTTCTCGGGTCAACTGTTCCAGGTGGGCTTCAGCAGAGTTTGTATTTCAAGGGGGTCTTGATCCCTTGTGAAGTCCTCCAATCGCGTGAGCACAGTGTCGGGCACCTTCGACAGGGAGTGCTGACGAAACTTTTATACTGTTGGTTCCGTATGTCGCCTACTCCTGGGATTCGACCAAGACTTACGGCCACTGCCCATAGCATCAGGAGCCATGGCCCACACTTGCAGGCTGCACATCAGGCGATAGATTACCGAGCAGCCAGCAAAGAAATCACAACTCCACTCGAAGGAGCTCGGCTTCCTTTGAAGAAGCACAGTTTATGCCATCATGGTGGGGCGAAATGTGCCCCCCGCAACTTTGGAACAAAGACTCGGTCCAGGTTGCTGTGATTTAATGGCCGGGCGAGCGCAACCGATCGTTTTTTTTCTATTCGTTCTCAACAGAAAGAAGTTATGTTCACTGTGTCCGAGCCCGGTATGCTCCACAAAGCCTGGAGAAAGACTCGACACCTGCAAGTCTCGCAGACAAACGAAGGCTTACGACTCAACAGCATTGGATAGTGGACTGGCGGGGAAGAACTCAAGTTTTGAGGGTTGCCCATGGCTTGTGAATCACGCAGTGGATGCAACCTAGCTTGGGTCCTATCTCGGAGTCCAATATACAGCATTTCCTGAAGAGCTGCCATAAACCCAAGCCAACATGCCAATAGTAGCAGGCCACGAGTCAACATGACAGCCAGCGCTTGCAGTCGCACCCCTAGGCATTCTCATTTTTCTAGGCTCGTTCGTGCAAAATTTAGCCCCATTCAATGTGGGCTCTCATATCAGGGGTACCCCTAATGTACCCCCAGGTAGTTAAAACCTCATTGTAGGGCGTACCCCCCATTTTGTGAAGTGACCCTGACATGTCGTAGTCCTAGAATCCCCGAAGCTCACAGGCATAAGATTTGTCAGACTCCCTTAGAGGATGGGAGTGGTGTTTAGTTGGGCAGGTGCAACGCCTTGAGGTATGGGTGCAGAACGTCCTGCAGTGTGACCCTCCGCTATCGAAAATGCATCCTGTTTTGTCTATGCAGTCCTGTCTCCAAGCTTGGCAGAAGGAGTCTGCACAGCATTTGGCTGAATCCACGTGACATGCACCAGCAAAATGAGGACTCCAATCCTTGGAACGGTTCGCATCAAAAAGAAGTAAAAATCCGAGGAATCTTCGGAGACCAAGGCCCTGAACCTTGTGGCTGCTTTTCTCACCTCCCCTTGCTTCACCTGACCTAACCCCCCGGCCACTTGGGCGTTCAACTGCATGTCCACCCCACGCGCACCAAGTCTTAACCCGACGAACTCCAAGCACGGCCACCGGCTTTGCCTCTTTGGGAATGGAGTGGAAAGTGTTCAAGTTTACATATGCTGGGTCCCCAGATGTCAGGCAGCGCCACCTTGCCTGCCATTCTTTGTAATGCTCTTCCTTGTCGCCGGACATCCACCTCACCAAGTACACCTCCCTCCCCCTTCAAATCTGCAGGTCCTCTACCGCGATGGTGACCCGCTGGGCAAGCTGATGGCGATCGCAACCTTGTCTCCAATGCTGGTAGCGCCCGGGGCTTAGGGATCAGTCACACCGTGACCCCTTTAACTGTCCTGATCATGCTTGATATACGACTGCATGACAGCCACGCACCCGCGATCCCTTATCTTGCCCCGCTTGCCTTTCCGGAAGAGCTACTTGATATTGTCCCACTTGTCTCACTGGCCCCACTTTTACTGATCTGGAGGAGCGAATTGATGTGTGCCACTTGCCCGTGTGCCCCACGTGCCCGGCTTGCCCCACTTTATATGGGGACCGTTTCCGGTTCGGTTTCATGTCATGAATCTGAGAATATTTGACGTGACAACACATCTCTCACCCTGCAAACCAGCAAGTGAGGGAAGCGGGGCAACGTGGCGGAAAGCAGCTAGCGGTGCAGGTTTGCACGCCCACTATGATGATTGAACTTACATTGAGGCTTCCAACTAAAAACCCCTTGTGGCTAAGCTCGAAGCCGAAGCTCCAAAAGGCTAGCCTTCAGAGGCATCATCCAAGATGATCAGAGGAGACTCTACCCATCTTGCCCAGACTTAGATATGACTCGTCATATGGATATCTGTGTTCGTGCGAAAGAACCAAGAAGCAAGGGATCGATGAAGACCTGCATGCTGCGCTGGCCGAGGTTTGGCCTGGGAGCCGCCTTTGTGGTGACGCACCAGCTTCCTTGGGCGTGCGGGGCCCAATCGTCGTGTTTCGGAAGGCTGCTCAGACTCTGGCTACCCTCCCCTACCCCCGCCCCGTCGTAGTGCAGTTGAACCTCTGAACCCAAGATGCTCCGTGGTAAGCCAGGATACATCAGGATCTGCAATCACCATTCCCTGCCCTTGACCAAGCAGAGGTGGGGCCTGTTGGGCGTGCTGCTCACGGACGGGCTCTGCATCGTTTTGAAGGAGCTGCTGAACCAGCCCGAGGCCCAAGGCCCGGGCTGAAGTTCGGTGTACTGCAGTTTACTTTGGTAAAGGAGATAGCTCTGGTTCTGCTGGGTTTTCTGTGGGATGACACCCTGGCTTGAAGCATTTTAGGTTTGCAGTAGTTTGGGCTAGTCTTGGATTGAAGGAGTTTAGGCCTCTAGCCCCCTCCAAGTCACCCTTAGCACAGTCAAACGCGAGGTGTACAAAAATCCTCACACAGAGCTCAAGCTCGGCCATAATGTCCTGAGCTCTTAGTGTCAGCTTCTTGGGATTGAGATGATCGGACGTTACGTGGGCCCGCGCTTGGTTTTCAAGTGTGGTGCTTCGGTCTCCTTATGCCATCTATACACTTCCAATTGCTTGTGGCCAAGGCCACGGCCAGAAGGCAGCTACCGCGAAGGGCCGCCGACTCAATTCAAGGGTCGAGCAAGGTCAAAGAAAATGCTGGGCCTCAAGGCAAGGTTACAAACCCTCAACCCTAAACCCTAAACCCGAAGATTTGCAGTCCTCGCTGGTTTCCATATTCAAGGGTTGCTGCGGTCTAAGAAACCCCTGAACTTCAAACTGGAGCCTGGGAAGCCTGCCAAGGCCGGGAATGCCTAGCAGAGCCCTGAGTGAGGTCTTTGGGATGTGGGGGCTTCAATGAGGGGTCTTCAGGTTTAGGGCTTGGAGTTCAGGCTCGAGCTTTGAGAGTTTTAAGGATGGGGTAGAAAGGCGTCGGGGATTGCCCGGGCTTACTACAATGCTTTGCTGTTCGGCTCTGTGTCGCAAGATTACAAACCGAAATTAGGGCTCAGGATGAGCGGGACATGACTTGGCTCCTCAAGCCAAGCCCTTGAAGGGGTCAGGAACCATGATTTTCGACGGCTGGGGCCGAGTAACTGTCTTGACCCATCATCCTGAACCCGAAGCACCCATGCCTGCACCATCCTACGCCCAACTCCTGAATAGCCTCTTGAAAATTGGGGCTTTCGGCTGTGGAAGGGGACGTGGTTCAGGGATTTGGGAGGGTGGCGGCTTGGTTTGGCCCTCTTCAGGTTCGAGGGGCGGGCATTTTACTTCATACAGAGCATCGTAGCCGACTGGTTAAGAAGTCTTAGGATGAGGGCTTTAGGGTTTAGGGTTTAGGGTTTGCGGTTTGATGGTGTGCAGATACAACCGCTCACTCTCAGGCGAGCACGCGGCGTTCTCTGCGTTTCTAGTCGCGCATTTGTCTCTGCCGCACCCTGAGCATCAAGCCTCGCAATCTCGGAGTATGGTTTTGATGGCTACAGTAGCTAATCATGTTCCCTTGGCATAAACCGAGAAACCACGCAAGACATCAAGAAGGCACCCACGAATCGCATGCAAGCAGCACCTCCGAGCGTTAAACAAGTGTAAACCATTGTATACCAGGGCTTTTTTTTTGTTGCTCAGGGACACTGGGGACAGTGGTGCCGAATTGCAAACGCTGGCGCGTCGACCGCCTCGGCCCGAAAGGGGGAGTCCCTTTTTGAGTCGTTTTCGGGCTCTTCGCCTCGGGCGACCTCAGCTTTAACATCGCCAAGCCCTGAGCCAACGCCATCGGGCGCATGAGGGGTGGAGGCCACAAAAGTCTCAAGGGGGCAGGCAAACTGGAATTGGGTCTTGGGGGGGGGGGTTGTTGTTGGGAAGGGAGTTCAGCGGTCTGCTAGAATGAAGGGGTCGTTCCTGAAAGGTCTTCCCAGTCTTCGCCGGCGACTTTTGGGGGCGGGGGGGTATTGAGTATTCATGAGGTTCTTTAGGGGGTTGTGGGTGTGTGGGGGTCTGGTCGGTGCTGTTAAACAGACTTCTGTGGGGCTATAGAAAGGCAAACAGGGTCCCAATGAACGTTTAACAGAACACCCACTGCCGGGGACTTCCAAACACACGTCTGCGTATGTGTGCGTTGTCTATCTCGGAGGATCTTTGGGCCTGGGAGCTCGAAGTCTGATGGCTTGTTTCTACAGTGACAGGAATACCTGAAACATGTTGCTGAACCGGCGAAACGGTGTCGAGCTAGCGGCATGGTTCCCTCCAATCAAAGATCATCTCCACAGGGTGCAATAGAATCCCCTCACGCTCACGCTGCTCATTTGTCTCTGTCAACTCACCTCCCATCACACCATCCTGCTGGCAGGTGGGTTTGCCTGAGGGCCCGATGCGCGCTGTCACTGAAGGTGCGGGGTTCGCTTTGGGGAAATGGCTTAGAGTCTTAGAGGCTTAGGCGTTTGTGTTGATGGGCATTTGGGCCTGCCATGTGTATTGTTTTTGGCTTTTGTTGCTGTCTCATTGCTGCTTTTACTGCTGTCGTTTAGCCAGACATACCCGGTCCTGGTCTCCTCTTGTCAAGGCTCGAGGACTCTGCATGAAGACCTCTGGTGCCCTGGGTTCAAGGCACTGGCGCTGCTTCTGATGATCTCGTGGGCAGCACTGGTGGCCTACTCGCGCCTCCATCTAGGAGCGGTTCATCCGTGTCTGAGACATTCAGATTCACAAATCCAGTACCCGGGGCATTGGGTTCAGGAAGGCATGCTGAAACCATGTAGAGACACTTGTAAAGTAGTGTTGAGAGAGAGGCCAACACTACCTGATTGTCAGAAGGGTCTGTCTGAAGTCTGAACTCTTGCAAATTCTCAGCCTGCTCCAAAGGCTCCCACAACCCTCCCAAAGGAGTGCACTCGCTGCTGCAGATCCTCGTCGGACTTCTCCTGGGCTCCGCTGGCGGCTGCGCTCGGGCTCTCAGTTCCGGCTGCTTCGGAGACGTGCTGCAAACTGCAAGACATGAGAACATGAAGCCACCACGAAGAGCCATGATGAAGCAGCGCGCTTATCAACTTGTCGGGCAACTTGTGCCTTCAAGCGCCTCCTATCAAAGAGTTCCTTCTTGCATTCTCTCTGCAAAGCTTATAGGCCTCAATAGGGCCTCTATAGGCCCTCTCAGAGGCCTGGTTCTCCCTGGAGCGGTGGCCGCCGGCTGCGGGCATCCTCCATCGCACCCAACGAGGCCTTCTCACCGAACCCGCCCTTCTAAGGCCTATAGGGTTTAGGTTTCGCCGCTAAACCCTAACTCCAACCACGCCACCCCACAGAAAAGGGGGGGGGGAAGGGACCGGGCGGGAGAGGATCATCACATATGCGACAGGGGTCAGATGAGTTGGTTGAGGGTTTAGGGCTTAGGGATGTGTTTGAACTGTTTGAAATGCTTCGTGGATGCTGGGTTTCAGTGGGGTCTCTGCCACGTGCCGAGCTTGCCAGGCCTCGACAGCAGCTGGGATTCCCTGGGCATCGACTTCGATTCCTACTCCCGTGTGCACACGGGCTGACCGTGGCCAAAGTGCCCTCACTACATGTAGTAGCGTGGTGGGATGCGCCGAGGGTGCCCAGCAGAAGAAGAGCTGTACAAAACGTACAGCCACAACGACAATGGTCTACTGGATGCAGGTGCAGTCCCCTCTCTGTTAATGACGAGCGGTTTGGCTTCAAACCTCAGCACGCGGAGCTTGAGAAGGAATCTCGGGAAAGCGCGCGAATCAAAGCTTGCAGCATTGCTCTTTCAGGCACTTCTTCTTGCAGGGTGCACCCTGAAACTGTACCTCAAATGCTTGACCAATTGGCTCCGACCCATTGATTGCGCCACATCCCAGAGCCGTCAGGAAGTGATAGGATGCGATGAGCGAGGCCGCAGAAGCTTCAGAAGCTTCAGCAATCCTGTTTCTGGACATCGACGGGGTCCTGCACCCCGTAGATGAGCAGGAAGACAAGTATTTTGCGCAGCCGAACTTAGAGCAGCTGCTGCGCATCGTCGAAGCCACTGGGGCGCGTGTGGTCCTGTCCTCCACCTGGCGCCTTGATCCTACATGGGGGCCTCAGGCGGAGGAACGCTTGGCACAGGTGTCGCCACTCCTCAAGCTGCTGGGGAAGACACCGTATTTCCGACATGAGGGGCGCGCAGTCACTTGGCGCTTAGCGTCGAGAATGCGGGTTTCAGTCGCGTTGGACTTTCATTTGCCACCGGTTCAAAAGTGAAGCGCACACCGTTGCATGGCTGTTGTTAATGCCAGGCAGAGATACGAGCATGGCTGGCAGATCACCCATGTAGCAGATGGGTCGCCATCGACGACATGCCTCTAGAGGAGGCAGCCAATCAGTTGCGAACCTTAGGGCTTGAACTACCGTAAAGCATCCGTAAAGCGGTGAAGGCCTGAGTCACCGGAAAGCGGTGAACTGGGCTATGTTTAAGGTTTGAGTTAGGACCTCAGCCTGAGACCAGCGGAGCCTTAGCTTGTGCGAACCAGGATCTCCCCGCGGAGCACTTTGTGCGAACAGACGCTTGGCGTGGGTCGGACACTCAACCTGTGTTTCTTGCTGAGTGACCTAGACATGGGGTTTTTTCACCTGACATCCCACTAACTCGCCACCCATGAACCCACGTTCTAGCCAAGAAAATCTCGATTGCAGCTCCGACAGATGATCTTCACACTTGCGAGTTGAAGTTCACAGAACTCGGAAGGAGCCTTGGTCCTGGACCCAAAGCAACCTCCCCGTTGCGGACATTTGCGGACCATGAGTGCACTTTGCAACATCGGAAACCTCTTGATCGTGCGGCCCTGGAATATAACGGCCTGTTATATCCACAGAGTCCCAGTGGTGCAGCTCCAAAACCTACAGATTCACAATCAACCTTCCCACAGAGTCCTTAACTCCTCTACTCCTGTGAGCCTAAACCCTCAGCCTGACACCCTAAATCCTCAGTAAAGCTCCCTAGGCTGACTGTGGAGGCAGCGTCCGAGGTCCGTGGGCAGTCAAGCAGGGGGGTCGTAGAGGTTACTGGGTATGGGTTTGAGGATCCAAAATTTCTTTGGGAGCAGCATGGCATTTTGGAAGGGCTGTTGAGTGTTGGGGAACTGCAGCAATCTCGGCACTGGCAGGCACAGACTGAAGCATTGAACGTTGCCAACCTTGTAGTCAGACTTGCCATGCCCCAGGCCATCAGCAAGCTGGGTGGCACGCCCGTGCAGCCGCCCAGACGGCTCGGCAGCCATTCGAGGAGCAGGAGCCGGAGCAGCAGGAAGAGCAGGTGAAAAATCAGGCGGACACTGCGTCTGGCGATTCTTCCTGCACCAGCTCATGGGTTGTGCAGGCCGCACTCCCTTGCTGTGCGAGCGCACATAGCTGACATAGCTGAATCTACATGTGGCCATTTGCTTCTTGGGCTTGACGGCTTTCATTTTTACCCGTCACAACGAAATCTCCCTTACAATGTGGGAGGTCTGCAAGGCGGGATCAATCCTTTAGGCTGAGAGGCACATGGTCTCAAATATGGGAGAACATTGCTGCTGCGCCTGCTGAGAATCCTGGCGCAGGGGTGGGAAGCCATCGGAGCGGATTGCGTGCTGATTTGCCTCAGCTTCACCGCTTTGCTGTTGACCAAACTGGCGTTTGGCTTCCCGAGCCCAGTGAAAGATGTCCAAAGGCCTTGCAGCTTCCAAAGCATTGTCGCAAGAGTCTCAGCGTTCCTTCGCAAAACCCCCCAATGCTGCGATATCTGTTCGGAGATTCCAGGAATGAGCCCTGGCCCCCACGATGGCTCACAGTGTTGTGTTGATCATGGCAAGGTTACATCAACAGAGGTTCGCAAAGATGGGCTGAGACTGACGATTTGGCTTAGCTTGTTGTAGGTCTTGTTGTCTCAGTCAAGCGGCACCAGACTCGGCACGATTCAAGTGGCCAGATGTCATGCAGCAGTCCATACACAGCGGCACCTTATGAGGTTCGTTTGCATCTGCGGCCTGATCCCACCCAAGTACAAAACTCATACAACAAATCTCGCGCAACACCTAAACCCTAAACCCTAAAACCCTAAGCCATAAACCCTAACTCTATACTCCACAAGTTCCTTCCAAGTCACTCCGAAAAAGATGCCGGACCATGCGCCTCGAGAGCCATGACGGATCGTCCTGAGGCCACCCAAGGCCGGACCACTTCCCTGCATGCTGGATTCAAGGTTCCAAGTACGGGCCATACTTAACTTGTGGCTTAGGTAGGGAAGCCAGTGGAATTTTTGTTGTTGGGTGTGTGTTTGGGGGCTAGGTGGCACCGGCAGCAAGTATGAAGGACAAGCCCTCGTCCCCGCATTAGTGAGTACTGAGCTGGCCCGATGAAGCAGCCAAAGGAGAAGTTCCCCCCCCCCCCCCCAGCCTTAACAAGCAACCCCCTGCGTCCCCGCACTCGCTGGCCCACTATTTCGCAACTCATGACTCATGATCAAGGAAAATCATTCCATCTTCAGTCCTTGCCCATGGCTTGAAACCCTAAAGCACACCATGCCAAGCGCAACTAGCAGCGCTAGAGCCCTCCTACAGGATAGCGAATCAAGTAGAGACGAATTGCAGAGTAGAGGATGACGAATTGCGGAGTAGAGGATATGTGGAGGTTCCCTGAAGCCGTGTCTGACTTGATGAGACCAGGCCTGCACTTTGAAGGCCGCATACAAAAATCATCAGGGCTGAAGTGCTTGATCTGCCAGGGAACTTGCTGGAATTAGAAGGCAGAAGAGGTTCAGACATGGCATCTGTGATATTCGCGATGTCGGTTTTTTATGGGCTTGAAGGGGTCTGTGGACCTGGGTGCGTGGTGTGTGGTGCTGGGGTTGGCTTCCGGGCTCCGGAGGCCAGCAGTCTTTCTACAACGGCTTCTACCATGCCCGGCTCTTCAAGAAGCCGACCTAGGCACCGGAGACGGGAGGGTCACCACCCCGATCCCCCCAAACATCCCCCCCAAACACCCATTCAAACTTTTAGACCGAAGGCTTGTGCCCTCCTCTTGGCCCATCTGAGCCCTTGAGCCCCTGAAGCCTCGGCCCAAAAGGCACCACCCCCCCGGGAAGACTCGCTCAATGCGCAGCTGAACCGGAAGCTGACGGGAAGTCGGTCGGCACAGGAGGTGCGAGGGTAATAAGATTGGTGGCCGGAAAAGTTCCGAAGTAAAATTCCCCATGGTCCTTATATAGTTCTACCAGAATGACCCCCCCAAAACCCCAGCCTAAGCCCCTAGATGACTTGTTCAGGGGTGTTGCCCCGACTTCTCAAGCCCGATGCCTGCCCTGAGCCCTGAAGGCCCACCTTCCCTTGTTGCAATAGGAATGCTGTCAGAGCCGCCATGTCGAGGTCGTCGCATCGAGTGAGAGCGAGCCAGAGAAGACCTGGCTAGAAGAGGAATAAGAAACGAAGAATATGAAGAAGAGAGAGGGAGAGACAGCCAGAGGGAGAGAGAGAGAGAGAGAGACAAAAAAAACCACGATAACGACAAAACACAGTCTGAAGCTATACATGCATGTATAGAAGCATGCGCGTATACAAACTATGTATATCAGAGCATCATGTAAGACTATGACATCCAACACCTCTAGCCAGAAGCAAAGTATCTGCACACCTTGGGGGCCGTCACTTCGAGCATGGCCGCGGGGGGTGGGGGCAATGAGTTTGTTGCGGGGCCCTGGGGTTTTGGGGTCTCTTCCGAGGTGCTGGGCATCTATGAGGCGCACTTTGCGGAGTTTGACTCGGTGAATTTTGTGACGGCCTTCCACCGGGTGGCGAAGATGCCAGACGGAAAGCATGCGATGAACAGTTCAGCCTTTGCAGGCGTTGCCCAGGTTTTGCTGGAGAGGTGCCCCTAGCTCACACCACAGCATGTCTCGAACACGGCTTGGACAGCCACAGCCCTGAGTTCCCGGCAGCCTCCGACCATCGCGGCTCTCTCACTGTAGATGCAAGCAGTTCTCAGTGAGCGTGACCCACAGAATCCGTAGAATACAGTGCAGGCATTCGCCAAGATGTGGCACGAAGGTCCGCTGCTGTATGATTTGATTGCAGCTGCCTCGTTGCCGCGACTGCACGAGCTCACGCTGCAGGACCTCACAGGCAGTGCTTGGGCATACACAGCTACAACCAGCACCAGCGAGCAGTTCTGTGCTGCGACACGTGCAGAGTGCTTAGCTCGACAAGCTCAGCTTCAACCCAGGGACATTGCGAGCACGTTTTGGTCGCTGGCAAAGCAGGGTGGCTCGGATAGGCCGCTGTTGGATGTACTCGGAAGCCACGCAGTTGAGCGTATTGATGAGTTCAAGCCTCAAGACTCATCCACCACATTGCAGGCAATGGCCAGGATGGCATTCATGAGCTCGGGCCTGCTAAATGAGTCGTATAGTCGTTGCATTCTCAAGTTAGATGAGTTTGGAACGCAGGATATTTCCAACACAGCATGGTCAAGCACCCGCTCGATGATTCGAGGGCAGATGCTGTGGAATGCAGCATCCCAGGCTGGTCGAAAGATGATGGAGCAGTTCGCTCCGCAGAAGATTTCGAACACTGCGTGGGCCCTCTCGACCATTGAAGCTTTGGACCCACCTCTGTTTGACAAAGCTGCTTTCCAGGCGCTGCGAAAGCTACATGAGTTCAGTCCACAGGACAGGGCAAACAGCGTTTAGGCTTTTGCAAAGCAGGAGATCCTGAGTACGCATCTCATGGATGCAGCTGGAGATGCAAGTCTGGCCAATATTTCTCAATGCACACAGCAGCACGTGTCCAACATAGCCCGGTCCTTTGGCAAGCTTTTGGTCCACAGTGGTGCTTTGACAGCCGTCCTTTGCAGCAGCATCCAGCAAAAAATCACGGAAGCCCAGGCTCAGACACTCTCCAGCATGGCCTGGTCTGTAGCCAGGCTGGTGGCAAAGGACAGGAGGTCTCTGGCCTCGACTTCAGAAGCGTCACTTGCCCGCATGCACACTTTCGGCCCGCAAGAGACTGCAAACACCTCGTGGGGCTCTGCGATGCTGGTGGTGGCAGATGTTGCTCTGTGTCGTGGTCTGGCCGATGCAGCCATGTCAGCAATGCCCTCCTTCCTGGTGCTGCATTTGTCCAACACATTGTGGGCCTTTGCTGCCATGGCCACGCAACGCCCGCAACTCGTCGAGGCAGCTGGCAGCGCCGCGGTCACCAAAATCTCCGCCTTTGGATCCCAGAGCCTCTCTGCCACAGTGTGGTCTTGTGCCAAGTTGCAGCACTCCAGCGAGACCTTGCTGGAGGCAGCCGCCTCGGAAGCTTTGGGCAAGATCGAGGCCTTCGCTGCCCAGAACTTGGCGAACACCTCCCGGGGCCCTGCCACACTCCGGGTCAAAGCCGACCCGCTGATGATGGCGGCTGCCTCCCGCGCCACAACCTTGAAGGACCACACAGGGCTCAAGTCTTTCTGGGCCGCTTAAGAGAATGGAAGCATGAGGTCCCGGCTTCGAAGCCTTCTTGGCCCCACGACTCTGACAGGCTTGGGCACATGGAGTAGGCCTTGACATTCGGGGGAGTGCAATCCTGTTTTCCTGTACGAACTACGCAGGAGGCAATCCCAAAGGAGCCCTCCAGCGCGGCCTGGGCTTCTACGAAGTTGGCGTACGAGGCAAGGGCTGAGGGATTCTGACTGTAGAGTCTTAATGGGGTTCAAAGAGCATCTGTTTTGAGGTGCAACTGCTTGTTCGTCTTGTGCTGGGGTTGTTTGGCAGCGGGAACTTGCTTATTACTCTTGTGTTAAGGGCCGGCGGGTAGTTTCGGGTAAGGGCCATGTACAGTTTCTGGGGAGTGTGTGGCAGGATTTGGCAAGCGGATTGCACGCAGGGCAGGTTTCTAAGGCGCTCAGGGAAGGACCGATCCGGTGAAAGAAGCTGCCAGAAGCAAGAGCGCAGGAGAAAAGCTGCAACGCTTCCGAACACAGCATTAGGGGAGTTATTGGGGGAGTTATTGGGGGTGTCGGTGCACGTGGCGTCAAGCACCTGCGTCTGGTCACTTTGTGTCGTCTCACATGCTGACCCGGTGGGCGTCATTGGACATGTCGTCGCTACATGGTGTCAAACAGTGGGCTTCGTATCGGTGCCCGTTTCTCAAGCGTCTTCAGAATATGTGTTCAATCGTCAGCGGAGACCTTGCACCTCACCAGGTACTCCTCATTGTTGGCTTTTTGGGTAATGGAGGGGTTGGACAGAGGGGAGCATGCTGCTTCTGTTACTGTCGTCGCCGTTATGATTCTGATGATTGTGATGCTTTTGATGGCTGTGGCCCTGACTGCTGTTGCGATTTTGTTGTTGACTTGTGTGCCTTGTTGTCGTTGTGTCTGTTGTTGCGCTGCCCGCCGCAGCCGCGGCCGCTGCTGCGGTTGTGGTTGTGGTTGTGGTTGTGGTTGTGGTCGTGGTCGGGTGATGTCGATGCTTCGGTGCCATCAGTGCCCCACTCAGTTCGGGAGATTGTTTGATAAGACACGGATGAGACATGCGTGCAGGGTGCTGCCTTCTTTGACTTGGTCGCTTCGGTGGCGATGACGAAGATCAGCCAGTGCGACGCGCAGTCTTTGTCCAACCTGGTTTGCTGAGTGCCCTTCAGAATTTGTGTGTCTGATGGCAAGCCGTTGTCTTAAGCCTGCCGGGTCTCCAGACCCAATCAACACCGAAACTAACATAAATATAAGAATGAACACATATTAATACGACGTATGAGTACTAATATTCATATTAATATAGAAATATTTGAAATATTGTATACCAATACAGCCAAGGTTTGGGCCTTCGGCACCGTGGTGCTCCAGCCTGGGCCTTTGGTGCCGGCGACCTCGCAGGCGGCGCTGGCAAAGCTGCACACCTTCGATCCCCAAGAGTTGGCCAACACAGTCTGGGCCCTTGCCAAGCTGCCGCCCGGTTGCCCTGTGCTTCTGTTGGTTCTGTGGGCTTCAAAATTAGCTTCAGCACCTCCTTGCTTGCAGCAACTTGTGTGTGACAGCCCAACATGCAACGAGAAGATTAGACTCTGACTAGACATGGATTTTCAAAGCGGAGCGACATTTATACTCTGCATGGCCCTTGCAAAGACATTTCATCTGTGCTGGTGCTTCTTGTCGCATTGATGCAATGGAAAGGGATGGCGACGAGAAGATGGGTTGATTGGATTTCTACCCGGTTTAGGCATTGAGCATCATGGCCCAGAAGCCTGGAATGATCCTGAATCCCAAGAGTGCTAGATTCCACGAACTCTTACTACTAACAGAACATCCGTAAGGCAAAGCCCCTTCGGAAGAACTCGAGGTTACTTGTGGACCGGCTCTTGTGCGACGCCATCGCTGTGGCTGCAATGTCGGGGGTTGCCGGCTTTGCCTCACAGAGTCCTGGCGTTTAGTGGATTGACAGGGCGTAGGGCTGATTTCAAGAGATAAGAGGCTCACAGCTGAGGGCGTGTGTAGATGTTTGTTTTTCCTGTTTGTTAATGAGGTTGGATGGCTCAGGAAAATCGTGATGTGATTCCAAATGTTTTCCGAGTCTGTGGACAGGCCTAATAGGCATCCTGAATCTGTGACATTGCATTTAAGCTGATAACCCAACTTGCTTTTGTGAGTTTTAGCCTTGCTTTATCATTCTGAGTACTGTAAGGTAAAATGTTTTGAAACCATGGCCGAAGCCCAAAATATGTTTCAATACTTTAGCAACAGTCTTATTACGCCGGCGAAGACCCCAGAAAGCTGGGGAGGCTCTCTGAGAATAAATGGAAATTTTCTTTCTTTCTTGTGGCACTCCGCTTCACATGTTTTGGTGTTGCCGAATCAGAAGGCTCGTACAAGTGAACATGATCAACATGACCATCCAAGTTTCACCTTCGCGCTTCTAAGGGTATGGATCACGCCTGTGAAATAGCTCACCCCGACATGGTGCCAAACTCCACCAATCAACATGAACAGCAACTACCAAAAGGGGGAAGCCCGCCCCAGCAACCTGCTGACAGTCTGCTACTCTGGGTGTCACAATCTCGAACCTGAATGTGTGGGTTAGGGGGGGGGGGGGGTGGGGAAGATTCCCTGAACTCCCTCACGATATCTACGACGCCTCCGTCTGATGCTCATTGTAGCCATGCTAGTCCAGAGTGGTTGAGCTGGGATTGAGCCTCTACTTCATATTAGCAGTAGTGATGGTCGCCATCATCCTCATGAATCACTCGTAACAGTTAGGCAGTAGTAGGAATAATCATCATTCTCATGCGTAACATGATAGCAAGAAGCCTGTGCCCAGGAATCCCACCAACAGTGCATGGGCCCCTGCGTCCCTTGGGCTCCGCAGCAAGCCGCCAATGGAGGCTTCGCATACTCAAGCGTCATAAAGGCAAACAACCGAGTGGCAACCCTAGTAGACCGTAGAACCCGCATGATGACCTTTTTTGTAATTGTTGCAGTTGTTGCAGTTGCTGCTGTTGCTGCTGCAGTTGCTGCTGTTGCTGCTGCTGTTGCTGCTGTTGCTGCTGTTGCTGCTGTTGCTGCTGTTGCTGCTGTTGCTGCTGTTGCTGCTGTTGCTGTTGCTTTTGCTGCAACTGGTGCTGCTGTTAGTCCCTGAGGCCGCCTCGGAAGCTGCCCTGAGAAGCTGCGGCCGTTTGATCCCGCAGGAGGCGACGTTCGTGCCAAGCTTTGAGATTGCGACCCCTTGGGTGTTTTGATGTGTCTTGAGGAGTTTATGTGTTTGGGCTTTAGACGAAGTGACGAAGTCAGACGTCGATTTGAGGAGCGGCAGGGGATGTGGGATTTCTGACTTCCAGAGTTTGCGACATCTTCCTGTGCCGATGTTTAGATGCCCCAACCACCACTGTTCCCTTCCTTGGATCGCGCATACCACATGAGTCAGATCTGAGTCGTCATGCTAAGAGGCAGAAACTGTAGGGGTTGGTGTTGTGACGCGCTGCTCCTGGGAGCGTGGCTGTGGCACAAAACCTTCATTAAGACGTGCCGTGGAGATCTGCAACTTGGTCTGTCCTTCATCTAAACCCTGGCGACTCTAGGATCGACTCCAGCATATACTCGCTGTCTTCAGAGCATGTGAGGCCGCGAACTTGGCCTGGTGCTGCGCCAAGATTGGCCTCGCCGGCGAGCGATTCCTTGCTGCGACTGGAAGCCAAGCCGTCGCCATCGTTTCCGAGCTCGTGATCTTTGGCTGCAGGTGTTCGGGTGAAGGTGTGGAGAGTTTGTTTGCCGTTGTTTGTCTGCTCGCTTCTTCAAGAGCATGATGGAAGGTAGAACCAAGCAGCACAAGAATGGTGTGGTGTTCGAAGCTTCATGTGCACCCAGGACGCAGGATTCGTCCAACTCTGTGTGGGCCTGCGCTACCTTGCTCTATGATAGCGCGCGATTGGCCGAAGCGATTTCGACCCACTCGGTGCAGAAGCTGCACCTCTTTCTGAACCAAGAGCTTTCTAACACAGCCTGGGCAGCTTCAAAGCTGCAAAGAGCCGGCCGAAGCTTGAGGCCTGGAGTTTGTCGAAACTATAGACCTTGCTTTCTGGAGTTTTTTCGGCTTTTGAGTTAACCTTAGCTTGAGCTTTCAGCTTCGATCTCGGCTCAGAGATGCAGGTCCTGCAAAGTCAAAGGTGATTCTTCTAGGGACGACGACCAACGGTCCCAAACCCCCACTGAGATGAACACAACATTCTGGGTCGAAGAGACCCAAAGCCCAAACGCTTGGCCGCGATTTTCCGCGATTCCAGGGCATCCTTGGCCTCAGAGGTCCAGAGCCGCCTCGCATCTCTGGATGCTCAGGCCTGGTTCGGGCTTCGGAGTTTCATGCTCCCCACTACTCCCTAAGGCTTCCTAAGCTTCTCTAAGGTTCCCGAGGTACCTGCCCCCCACGAACCCCCCTCCCTTAAGGACCCTAGAAAGAGTCCGCAGTCTGCATGTGGTTTAAATTTCTAACGGTTAGAGTTAGAGGTTCTAAGGAGTGCTACGAGTAGGTAAAGGAAGCGGACTCGGATCGACTTAGGTCTCATGTGCCCTTTCAATGCTGTGACCTTCATGATTGCACTGTGCGAACGGATGAGTTTCTATCTGAAGCCAGCAGATGTTTCAACTCCAGTTCCAAGGGGCAAAGCTTGCGTCTTCCATGTGTTTGGGCAGCGGCTACAATGTCCCAAGCGTCACTTCTTTTGGAGACCAGCGCCTTCAAAGTGCTGCCCCAAAAAGACCTCAAACCCCCTGAAAGCACCCTGACCTCCCTGAAGTTTTTGCACGTCTTTCAGGCGCTCTCCAACCTCTCCGACTCGGTGCCCGACATGTCGGAACAGCCGCGGGGCCTCACAATTTGTACTTATCATGAATGTACGAACCTTTGAGGTTCTCAGTGCGGTCTTTTGTGGGCCCGCAGAACCCGAGCCCTCGTGCGGCCTCCTGCCACACGGCCAGAACCCCTAAACTAAGCGGGCGGCTGCCAGAAGCAGAGGCCGAGGTTCAGTGGATTTGGCAGAAACCTTTTTTTCTGGCTGGGGATCCATGCTGCATGCTAAGGTTATTGGCAAGGCTGGAGCCCTTCCTTGTCAATTTCGTGCCTTGGAGCGAGTTAGCTTGCTGCTGTGGGCTTTGGGCCGAATAAACTTCGTCAGAGCCGAACTCAAAATCAAATCAGTTGTCGTTTGGGGTGCTTGCTGTAGTCGCTGTTTCTCTTGTCGCTGTTGCTGTTGATGTTTCCGTTGTCGCTGTTGCTGTTGCTGATGTTGTTGCCGCTGCTGTTGCTGATGGTGTTTGCTGCTCCTTCTGCTGCTGCTGCCGCCGCCGCTGCTGCGGCTGCTGGTGGTGGTGGTAACGATCGCGTAAGGGATCGCATGTTATTCTTGTCCTGAGAGCTCGAAAACGCCTGTGCGTTCATGTGCTGCATGCGTGCATGTTTGCTTCTGTGCAGTGGTTGTGCAGTGGTTGTGCGTGTTGTGCGTTTGTGTTTGCTTGCTTGCTTGCTTGCGAGTTAGCTAGCTTGTTCAGTCAGATAGGTTTTTTGATTGTGTGTGCCCTGATTATAAACCCCAACCCTAAACCCCCTAAACTCCCTAAACTCCTAAATTGTTTGGTTGGTGTTGGTTGTGTTGCCCCGTGCAAGCTGCGACCGCAACCCAGGTCCAAGGGATGCCCCGGACTCTCGCCGAATGGAGTGGCGCGGGGTTCCTACAGGCCCCGGGTGCCGGGGGCTCTTTTTTAGGGTTTGGAGTTTGGGGTTTGGGGTTTAGGGTTTTTTGGGATTGTGTGTGTGTGTGTGTTCCTAAATCCTAGCCCTTAAACGTCGGCGTTCAGGTTTTGGGGCCAACGGTTCGTCTACTGGTTTAAAATGCATTTTGAAAGCTTTGAACTTTGAACCCCTTTTTGTCTCTCCGACATAGTAAATCCAAAAACCCTAAACCCTAAACCCCTCAACAGCCAGTTTTTGTGGAACTTTGAGAGGTCCTCCACCAGACCGGTGTGGACAATTTCGGGATCGCCGGCACGCCGTGGCCTCGGTGTTCTGGGATGGTACTCGTACTGGGATGGTATTGGGATAAGGATTTAGGATTTAGGGTTCAGTGGTTTCGGGGGTAGGCTTTTTTGTGCAAAAATACGAGTCAACCAGCAGAAGTGTCGGCTTACTGTAGCTTGGCGTGAGTTCTTAGATGTCCCAGGACCAAAGACAAGTTGCCGCACCTTGCAGGAATTGCTCTGCACGTTCAAAATCAACTGCGCGTGACCCCCATGCAAAGACGACCATGTCTCATCTCAAGTAGGACGGAATATGAAAAGTATGAAACAGGGACAGAGGCACAAGGGTCACGAAACCAAGGGAAAAAGAGTTGAGACAAAAGAGTCCCAGGAGCCTCTAAGGAAACGAGGGGCCCGAGCCTGCTCTTCGTAACGCGAACCACCACTCGCTGCTAAGAGCCGCTCCGAAGCCTGTCTCTGGTGTGTTTAGACAGAAACAAGCCGGAAACTTAGGGCAAGACGGAAGTCGGAAAGCCGAAGCAAAAACCCAGGGAGCCTCATTATTAAGCGGAGTCAAGCTTTAAACCGGTATTTCTGGGGCCTCGCTACGTCATATTTTGTTCGCGATTTGCACCAGGTCATGCCCTGTTGCGGGTTTGGCTGGGTTCTTGCTTCAAGCAGGCGAATCTGTGCTAACGGCAAACCCTTTCCCCGTTACATCGTCCACTGGTTCGCACTTCGGCTTTGTCCGATACATGGGTCGCAGCATGAAGAGGGTTTTCCAAAGGGCTTTCAGAGGTACTCTCATTTCAGTTCTAGCAACTCACGCTACTATGCCATCTTCACAAGCACATGGCACCTTGTTCAGCATGTTCACCTTCACCTTTGTCAGCAGGAATCGGCTGCTGATGAAGCTGGGCATCTCAAGCCCAGGGGCAGATTTCGTCGACAGGGTACAGCCCTCAGCGTGTTCAAAGTTGGTGCGCTTTGGCATCCTTTTGCAACGAGGCCCTCCGCCGAGTGGAGCAGACCCTTGAGGAAGGTGATGCGCGACAGGACGATGCAAAATTCGAAAGTATGGAGCTTAACATAAACCCGGGTCTACGAACCTGTTCACATATTGCTTCTGCTGAGGAACTAGGAGGTTCTTGGCAATTGTTAAGGCTGTATAGTGGTTCGGGTTCCGCAGCCCTTGCTCCCCTACCGATGAAGATGTGATCTGAAAAAATGGCTCTGGGGAATAGCTTGGTTCGTTCCTGTGTTCGAGCCATCTGAAGTTTAAGGTGTCGAAGCAAACGAAGAGGTATAGGCTCGGAGTTTGGCCCCAGCCCAGGCTGAAACCAAGCAATCTAACTCCTGAGCCCTCAATCTCAGACTTGGCAAACCACCGCCCTGGACCGGAATTGGACCCCGCAACACCATCAAACCAAGGAAGCCTCTACCCCCTACACCGGCGTAAGCTTGAAGGGCTCCCAAGCTTCGAGTATTTCAGCAATCTCTTTGAAAGTTGCCTATTTGTGAGCCCCCCCCCATTCAAAGGACACCTGGGGTTTAGTCCACAAGCGCGTGCTCTGCTACGGAGAGTGGGACCGCAGCGTGGTTGACTGGGTTTTTCCACCCTGGGGGGTTCAGGGTCTAGGGCAGTCTCTTTTTCATAGTGGTTTCGCAATTCCAATCTGGGATGTACAGTTGAAAGCTTAGGGGCTCGGGGCCCTTCATCTCAAGAAGGGCTAGTGAGAGACTGATGGAATTACAGGCAACGGAAGATTCTGAAGCCCTCGGTCTTTGTGTTGTTCTAGGATTTGGGGGCTTTACGAAAATTAGGGTACCCTTAAGGAAGGACCCCAAGAAGGTACCCCTAATTTCGGAAACCCCCATTTTAAGTGCTTAGGGCTTCGTAGGGTTTGTGGCTTTAGGAGGAGAACTACGCCACTTTTTTACAGAGGTCGTAGGCAGGGCTTGCGACATCTTTCAAAAGCGTGTTTGGGCCGTCCCCTGTTTCAGGCTGTGAACAGGTTCTGCGTTGTCTAGACAGTATCCTGGCGGATGCTTCGTTGGTCTTGTTCAGATAAGAGCCCCCAAGATGGCGATGCAGTGTGTGCGTTAGGACCCCCCATGTCCCGCAGCCAGGACATCAGGCTGCCCGACGGCCAAGTCCTGCGCGGCACGCTGCTGCCGCGGGCTGAGTGCAAGGAACGGAGACGATGATAGTAGGCATGAAAAGGTCCGGGAAGAACATTTTTTTTGGGCTGTCTTCGTGGCCTCAAGCGCTACAAGATTGATATTATTCTCACCCTTTCTCAAGTCCACCAGCTGACAGGCGAGAAAATGGCATTCGCGTGGGTCATGCAGCCCCGCCTGCATGGTGAGCAGCTCAGGGACCTTGTTGAACTCTTTGACTTGACCCCAAGAGGCCCAAGTGCCGTTAATATTTTAAGGGGTGACTTCAGGGTGAAGATTTGTCTGGCCACACTGTGTTTGTTGAGTCCTGTTGGCCCTGTGTGCTTTTTTCTGGCGGTTTGCTTGGGGGGACCTTCGGCTGTCGGGTCCCGAGCGTATGTCTGGGAAAGTTCAGTGAGGTTTGCCCTATAAGGTCATCACTGCGTGGCTGGCCTGTACATTCAGAAGATTAGGTGGAGCGAGGTTCGCAGTCGGTATTCTATCGCGGGCAGGCATGCCCGGCCCGCATTTCGTCGAACAGATGCGTACGAGGCTGAGGGCCTTCCCGACGCCAATCAATAGCCTCATCGGCCGAGACCTCTGCGGTGAGCCAGTGCCCCAGGGGATCAGAGCCTTTTGATTCCGAAGGAATGATGTTGGGTTGAAAATGTTGTTTGAATGGAGCGGGTCTCCGTTCAACTCAACTCGTTTTTGTGGGTTTGCAGTTTGTTTTTTCAAATTTCGGCTCAGCAGTTGCCATAGCTAATTGTTTGGAGCAGCCTCTTTCAGTAGTGGTGAGGCAATAGTATCAGCAGTATGGCGGCAACGTTTTGGCAGATCAGTACAGCCTCTCCCATTGTAGGGGCATCAAGTTACTGTAGTCAAGAAAGAAAGCAAAATCCAGGGCCTCGTGAGCCCGGCAAGTAAGACTACAAAGCCCGCATAGCCCCGAATTGAATAGAATAGTAAACTTCTCTAAAGCATCCGCCAGGAAAGACCACTAGCCTAATACCCCAGTAGAGGCCAACAGACCCCCCCACCCCCCGCCCCCCCACCCCCCCCCACCCCCACCCCCAAGACCAGAATCAACGGTCTTGCCAACTCCCGTTCGCCCTGCACATCTGTGAATGAGCCACTTCAGCACCCGCTCTGAAACCTTCGAGGGGTCCCCACAAGGTTCCAGCTAACCACTGGCATCGGCCTGATCCTCGACTCCGCGCCGCCGGGGCAGCTGGTCGGGGAGGCTACTGCGATGTTTTTGTTCAGGTCTAATGGCATCTAAGAGTGACAAGCTCTACTTTTCTCAGCACAGCATGGGATCAGCATGCGACCTGCGATTTTTTTTGTTTATGCCCCTCCCGAAGCCCTGATAACTTGCGGAGAAGTTGGTTCCGCGTCCAAGCTGCACAGCAGCTTATCGCGCTACGCAATGGCTACTCCCAAGATATCTCAACACCCTTAAAGCCCGGAGGTGTGCATGTTCTCCACAAGCACGCCAGCAGCCGAGTTTCCTTGTGCGCTTCTGGAGAGGAGTTTAGGGTTTGTGGCTTGGGATAGGGCTGTAGGGTCAGGGCCTCAAGACGGGACTGCAAATCCATTTAGTGTTTGGGAATCTTTTGGGATCTTGCCGTTGAGATGCGTTTGCCTGCAGATCCTTCAAGAGTTCTGACAACATACGGATACGGGACTTTGACAAACCGCTCTGCCTGGTGCGAGCTGTGTCAACGATTCAGCACAGACTCTTTGTCAAGATGTGCGGGCATGCAGAAGGCTGCTAGGTTGCAGGAAGGCTAGGACAACGGCATTGCAAGTGCTGCTGGTCGTCCCACCCTCAACCCTCAACCCTAAACCCTAAACCCTAAACCCTAAACACCCTCGTCGCCCGAGGCCCTGCTGCTCCTGCATAGCCGTGCTGCGGCAACTCCAGCTTCGCTTTACGGAGCGAGGGCCCCTTCATAGACTCATAGACTTGAGGTTGGGCAGCTGCGAGGTTCTTCGGGTTCGGGGTTCGGGTTTCCGGCTTTATAGGGTTTATAGGGTTTTAGGGTATGGGGTTTAGGGTTTCGGGTTTGGGGACACGTGCGTATGGTCAAGGTTGCGCTTGTGGCTCTGGCTGTGCGTGTAGTGGATTGCTTGTCAGGGTCTCGCTTCAGTCCAGTGAGCGTGTTGATGCCGTAGCTGCAGCAAGACGCCTCAGTCACCCAGGCTGCGGGTCATGTTCGTCAACGGCGAAGAAGTCGACGCTTCTTCGGGCAAAAAAAGCAGCTGACAACCCTGAACTGCTTTTGGGTCTGGGATCTGGCGGTATAGGGTAGTATAGGGTTTAGGATTCATAATTCAACTTCCGAAGTTTCAGTAACATGTTCCCTATAAGCCGACAAACATCCGAGAAAGTTGGTGCTCCTCGCCCCCTTTTGGCTGCAGGACCCTGTAGCTCACTGCCTGTGGGTTTCGGAGTTCGCGCGTGTGCAGGCCTCCTTGGTGGCTTTGTAGTTTACCAGCAATGGGTTTTCCAGACTTCGTGGCGCATCAGCTCGACCCAACGCGCGATGCCCAGTGCCTTTTCGAAGCCCCATCATGAAGTCCAAAGCCTGTAAGGCCATAACTTATTGACAAAGCCCCATAAGCCAAACAGGGCTGGATAGCACACAAAGGTGCACACGAAGGGCGACCTCAATTTCGTCTTCCCTCCTGCCCCTCTCCACAACACCTTGAGAAGCCCTAGACCCTAAACCCATACAATCCTGTGAGCCCCAAATCTTTGCCAACCCTTCCTGGCATCTGAGGCTTGAACTCCAGGCCAGGGTTGCGGTGGCACGGATTGAGAAGTTGTGCAACCTTCTGCGTCGCCGAGAGAGCTGTTGCCCAACCCCCACATAAGCCCTAAAATCTCACCTCGATGTGTGCAGACGAGCGAAGCCGTTGAGCTGAACATCTCAACCTTTGTCTTTATAGCTTGCAGCACGTACTCCACGTACTCATCCCCTCGGGCTCCCTTCCGACACTAAGCTGCGAGGAGTTGAACAACATGTAGGTCATAACGTGCACAAACGCTGCATGGGTGCTGACATGCTGGGGAGCTGATTTATACCCTCCGAGTGTATTGTTCCTGCGGTTGCTCCGATAAACTAGCCGCCTCTAAATCCGCGGCGATGAGCTCCACCACTTTCTTCGTGCTAAGTGCAAGGGATGATGTGGAATAAAAGGACTTGTCGAAAATCTCTCACTCTACCGTTGGTCACATTTCCCGGCATTTGCTAAAGGAGCCGCAGCCCTGGCAACCCCTTTTGCTGAAGCATCCCCTGCCCTTGAAGCTGCCAGCTCCAAATGCTAGGCGCTGAACACAAGCTGGGAATCGTGCACGATGGAAAGGGCCGAATTCGGTGCAGCTTGCGCAGGCTGCGTCGTTCGGCCAAGGTCTGTTGCAGACACTGAGAGAGCATCGTCTAGCATATGGCATTTTTTAGCAGGAATGCCCCAGACATGTGGTTGAATCAGCAGTTACGCAACAGAACTTGTCGGTCCGTCAGGCGCCTGCACGAGCATCAGAGCTTTTTCGGCTAAAGCCTCTGTACAACTGTTCGCTGACGGTTAAAATTGTTTGCTGCACGCCTGCGAAGTCACATGGCCTTGTGGCAAGCGCTGCTGCTCACTCACTGGCAGTTTTTGGCTTCAATCCTTGCCAAGAGCATCATACGCAGGACATCAAAAAGAAGTCTTTTTTTGCTGTGGTGAGAATCGCGCTGTCAATAACAAAGTCGACGTCACTCAAACGCTCCGCTTGTCCTTTGCTTTGGCAGCTCGTAGACATGCGTGAAACAAGGGGCGGGTGTGACCGAACGGTATGCAAGAGTTGCAGATTCACAAGATTGAACGCCGGAACTCGCATGGCAAGGGCAGCTACGGCGGCCATGGGCTTGATCACTGCCCGAGTAGGTGCTTGAGCGTGTGTGCCCATTCCACAAGCTCATGCAGCAGTCTGTGGTGGATCTCTGGCCTGTCCGCCATCACTTGACTTCACTCGGCGTCGTTCGGCGCTCGGCGAAGCTCGGCCGGCG